GCGATGAAACGTCTTAGACAGTGTAAAAATTCTAGTGCCGAGAGCTCCAATGCTATTTCGAGATGGACTGCCCTAGTCGTAAAACACGTAAAAAGAACAATCCAAAATTTAGACTTTCCATTCTCAATTTTAAAGAGAGAAGGTCCTAAATAGTCAACGCCAATTGCCTCAAAGGCTCTTGATTTAATTAGCCTTTCCTTAGGCAATCCTGGCATTGTTGGGAGTGCGAATTTCGGTCCATTTATTTTTTGGCACTTTTTACAATTCCTTACTACTTTCTTGGCCTCTCTTCTGGCGCACGGTGACCAATATTTAATTAAGAAATTTCCTAAAACGGCGTCCACGCCTGAATGTAAAAGCTCAATGTGTAATTTATCCATGATTAATTTTACAGCAGGGTGACCCTTTGGCAATATTATAGGGTTTTTAAATCCATCAGACATTTCGCTTTTGCCTATTCTAGAATTCAACCGAAAAAGTCCATCTTTATCAGTAATAATTATTGTATTCCTATTTATTAAATTTTTGTCAATTCCCTTTTGTATTAATTTTAGTAAAAATATTTCCACTCTTTTAATATCAGCACCTGTATGTCTTTTGTTTTCGCTTATTGATTTAATAAATTCGCTCTTAATTTTCATTTTACATTTACTCAACCATATTCGAGCGAAGAGAGAAACAATTAAAATAATTTTTAAAATTTTATTCCAGCTATTCCATTTATTAAAATCAATGAATTTATTACATTCTTTAATATTTATTTGATTAATTTCAAAATTTTCTTCAAAATTATTTTCTTTTTCATTATTTTCAACAACAAAATTTAACTCGTCAGGCCATAAATTTTCAGAATTTTTCAAAAATTCAGGTCCTGACCACCATAATGAATTAATGCTTAGTTCAACAGGTGTACATCCGCGTGTTGCAATGTCCGCAGGATTACACTCTGTTGGAATATAGCCAAAATTCAAATCACCATGACTTCTAATTTCTTTAATTCTATTTTCAACAAATTTTTCTCCTTTATAATTTTCTTTAATCCAATATAAAACAGGTTTAGAATCACACCAAAGATATTTTTGAGAAATTTTTAAACCAATTTGTTTTGAAACAAAATTTACCGCTCTAGTAGCAATTAGTACCCCTAACAATTCCATTCGTGGTATACTAACGCTCATCTTTTTAGGTTTGAGTCTATTTCGGGCATACAAAATATTAAGCATAATTTTTTGACTGGTGATACATCTCATATAAACACAAGAAGCGTACGCATCTTTGGATGCATCACAAAACACATGTAATTGATATTCACCGCTTTTATCTATTATTTTTCTTTCAATTTCAATAGGCGAAACTTTCCATGTTTCGATGATTTCACACCATTTGTTGGCTTCTTCTTCGATTAAAATGCTATCCCATTCTCGCTGTTTTTCCCATAAAGACTGGAAAAACAATTTCGCGGATAATAAACTCGGGGAAGCAAATCCTAGCGGGTCAAATACGCTAGCTAATTGTTTCAGTACCAACCTTTTATTTATCTTTTTATTATTCTCAACAACAGGAAAAGTTACTGAAAGTTTGTCAGTTTCAATATTCCATGGAATTCCTAGAATTTTTGATTTGCTTTTTTCTAAGCGATCTTCCATAGGCAATTCTTCATTAAATTCTAAACAATTAGAAATGAACTCTCGAAGGTTCATTTGGGCTGTTTTAAATATATTTTTCAATTTAAAATATGCTTCTGAAGCTTCCTCTTTTGTATCAACACCTATCAATATATTATCCACATATGAATTATTTTTAAGCCTTTGTGCTATTGGGTCATCCATTGACTCTAAATGATGCCTTACCGTGGCAGATAAAAGGAAAGGACTCGATATTACCCCGAACGGGACCTTTGAAAATCGTAAATATTTTATATTATCTGAAGTGATTGGCTTTCTTACGTCCTTTAACCATATTAATTTTAATACTTCTCGATCTTCTGGATCAAGCTCTAAACAATGAAACGCTTTTTCAATATCTGCCCAAATGGCAATTTTTGGAAGCCTAAATCTAATTAACATTCCAGCTAATTCTGGCATTATTATCGGACCGCGATATAACAATTCATTTAGGCTTTTTCCTCCTCTTATTTTAGCCGACGCGTCATACACTATTCTCACTTTTTTAGTGGTGATGACAGGATGGTGAGGGAGGAAATGCTCTATTGATCCTTTGTTTCGATCAGCATTTTCCAAAACTCCTCTTTTTATGTCATTTTCAATTATTTTCTCATATTCAAGCATTAAATCTGGGTTCTTTTTAAGTCTTTCCATTAAACCCGCAAAACGCCTATAGGCTAAAGAAAAATTGGAAGGTAATTTTTCTCTTTCTTCTTTCCATGGCCATTTTACAATATATCGACCATTCGGAGAACGCTTTATAGTCTTTTTAAAGAAATCCATTGCAACCTGATCATCTTTGGTTGTCGGGTCATCCTTAACTCCTATGGTTTCCAAACTCCAAAAATTATTTAATTTTTCATCAGAGTCTATATTTAATATTGGTACAATTTTATTATTTTTCTTTTTTGATAAAATTCCATTTAATTCACTTTCAAGCTCTCCACAAATAATTGTACCAACCGAAGTGTCAACCTTAAACAAATTATCTGATAAGGGTACCAAATTGCGGAAAAATTTCCAAAAGTGCTTTATACCAATTAAAACGTCTGGTACTTTTTCTGACGTTCGAATTCTACCATTTTCTAAATTAGCACACTTTATATTTGGCATTATTTCTTTTTTAATTTTATATGCAATAATTTCTTCTCTACTTCCATCTTCGAGAATAATTTCAAATAAAAACTTTGCTGATTTAATTCTTATAGGTTCTTTATGAGAAAACGGGATAATTCCTAGTTCCTTTTCTCCTATCTTTTTTAAATTCAATTCTTTCACTTTCTCTTCGGTAATAAAATTAATAGTGGCTCCTGTATCAAATAAGCCAACCGAATTGCACTTTTTATTAATTACTGAATTGGATAAAACCATATTACTTTGCATTAATGCAACTTCCTTCGGTTTTTCTACTATAGTAAGTAGATTTTCCGAAGTCTCTACTTGATTTACCTGCTCAACTTTTTTAAATTCTTTTCCATTTATTACCTTTTTATATAAATTTGGACAGATCAATTTATTATGACGTCCTCTACAAATATTGCACTCAATTCTAGTGACACAGTTCGTCACTGTATGGCCCTTCCTTAAGCAAAGCAAACATCGATTTTGCTCTGTAAGCATTTTTGTCCTAATATATATCGCTTTCACTTTTTCGCATTTTTCTGCGTGGTGAGCTCCATGACAAAAATAGCAAGAAATTTCAAACTTTCTATTGTTTCTTGCTTTATAATCACCTGATTGTACCATAAACACCCGATCAAAATTTTCTCTTTTAAAATTAGCTCGCTTTTGATTAAAACCTCTATTATTATTCCAATTGTTACCAAACCTCTGTTGGCTATAATTAATATTTTTAGAAAATGTCTGTACGCACCTTTGCGCTTCTTCTCTAAGAGCTACTATCTCTTCTAAACCTTTTCTTAATTCATCAACATTCCAAGTCGCTCTTGCTTCTTTTTCCTTTTTTAACAATTCTAAAACAATATTTTTTGGCAACTTATTCTTGATTGCCATCATTACTATAGATTCATCTTCAACTCTTCCCATTGCTGTGAGGGATCTACAAATCCTTTCAACTTCCTCAAGGTACGAACGAAGAGAAAAAACAGATTCATTTGCCATAGGAAGGCTAATTAATTCGGCATGGAGAGTATCCCTTATTGCTTTTTCATTCCCGAACTGTCTTTTTAATGCATCCTTGAGGGGTTCATAATGTTCGGCAATCGGCCGATAACCCAAAACCGCCCTTTTGGCCTTACCTCTAAGGCACTGAATTAAATAATGTGCTTTTAGCCCTGGGTCCATCACCAGGCTATCTACAGTTCTACTAAAAGATTGCCAAAATTCTGGCCAAACTAGAGGGTCTCCATAAAACTCTGCCAACCTAGTCCTAGGCAAATGCGCAGGAATATTATACTCATTCCTACGAAATAAATTCTCATTTAACGGAGTCTGCCCATCATTTATTGGAGCTTCTGGCCTCCTTGATTGGTTGGCTCTATTTTGTCCAACTCCCAATTCTACAGAAAGATCGGACTGAGTACTGCCGTCTTCTGACTCTGTCAACAAAATCTCAATATCCGCAATCATTTCATGCGCATTTTCTATCCATTCCGCATAATGGTGCTCTAATGGCGCAAAATTTGCTAAAACCTGTTCCTCGGCTTGTCTTTCATTAGCCGGGAGTCCTCTAATATAATCCTGCCATTGATTGGCCCTTTCTTCGAGACGATTAACTAGACGTCGCAATTTTACTAACCTTGTCCTTAACATTTCCATACCTTCAACTGTGCGCTCTTGGGCGTCCAAAACGGGGCGAATTTCCTCAATATGTTCACGCAATCGCGTTATAGCCGGAGTCATAGCTTGACGAATAGTTCCGGACATTATTATTCTTCTACTAAAAAAATATAAACCTCAAAAGTTATATCTGATTGTTCTTCAAACAATCAAAAAAAAAAAATTTTATTCAAACAAATTTTCAACTTCAAATAAATTCAAATTTATTGTTTTCCTCAAACAATATTATATAAACACAATTATGGTCGTGGCACCATATGAAAACCAAAATATTAAAATTAATTATAAGGTTTTCCTTCCTATATATTTTCTAGGGTAATTTCTCTAAAGCCCCTTAATTTAACTCTCAAATTTATTTCCACAATAAAATATTTATTTTCTTCCAAAATTCGAAATTCAAAAGCGACTGAAAAATAATCAAAATTTGACGGTTTAAAAAGAGTGAAATTTGCGTGGGAAAAAACGTATTAATCATAAAAATATATTTTTATTTATTTTATTCTCCGCCCAAAAATTCCTTTCAATTCTTTCCAAACATTTTCTTTCTGTTGGAAACAATAACCATCACCAATTAAATAATAACCAAAAATCGGATACTGAACTTAATTTTACCCCCGAAAATTCAACAAATTTTACAACAGTCGACGGCTATTTAAGACCCGAATCTGCAGCTTCAGAACGGTCCAGGACCTCTTCCTATTCTTACAAAAAATCAAAAACTGGAAATTTTTTGGGGAAAATGATTGGACAGAAACATTCAAAAATGTAGACATTTAAAAAATTTTTTAATAAAAATTTTTAATACTGTAAATGTTCTAATAAACGCCCTTAGCGTCTATTTAACAATGGGTCATCTTGGGTTGGACTTGTATTCGAATGGGGGCTTCTATTGGGGAGTGGGCTTATTTTTCCATGGGTCTTCCTGGGTGGGTCTGAGTCTTCCCGGATGAGTCTTCCCTGGTTGGGCTTCTAATAGAGAGCTGGGCTTATATTAGAAAATTTTATGTAATTTTATGTTTAAAGAAAGAATCGTCGTGAGTCTTCCATCGGGCTAAGCAAAATAAATTTGGAATTAAATTATGATAATGAACAGTTTAAATTGGTTGTGAATATTGTTGAAGCAACGTATGTAATTTTTTAAAATTTTTCAGAAAATTGAAAAAAAAATTTTGAAAATTTTTTAAAATTTTCAGAAAATTTTCAAAAATTTCAAAAAAAAATTTTTTTGAGAAATTTCAAAAATTTCAAGAAAATTTCGAAAAATTTTCAAAAAAAAATTGCAAAAAAAATTTTTTCCTTTTTAATTTCAGAGGCCTATTACCAATAAGTAAAGACGGCTATGCAGATCCCTATATAACTCTACGTTTAATTCCAATAGAAGGGCAAAGAGGATTGGCATCTGCTGGAAGTATATCCCCAGGAAAGGGAGGAAGGAAACAAACCAAAATTGTGGAGAATTGTTTAAATCCAATATTTAATGAAATGTAAGGGAGGGAGTGGGGGGGGGGGGGATTTTTAAAATTAATTTTTTAGATTTGAATTTGGTTTTCACTTTTCTGAATTGGCTTATTTTAAATTAATTGTGATTTTTGATTTTTTAATTAAAAATTAGAAACTAATTTTTCTAGTTAACTGTTAAAGATGCAAGAAATTATGGAATATTTGAAAAAAGAGCGGTCCTTGGAACGGTAATTTAAAAAATTATTTTTTTTTGAAAATTTTTTTTTGAAATTTTTTTTTGAAAAAATTGAATTGTTTTTTAAATAATTTTAAAATTAAAATTATTTTTTATCGAAAAAAAATTTTTTTTTTAATAAATTAATTTTTTTCAGGCAGAAATTCCTCTAAAAGACGTAGATCCGTCAAACCGAAAAACCAATTTATGGCTAGATTTAATTAATTAAATTTATTTAAAAAATTCTATTCTAATATTTTTTGTTGCATTTGTTTTTTAAAGTTTTTTAAATTTTAAAATTGTTATTCCAATGTTTTTTAAATTAATTTTAATTAAAATGAGATTTTAATTTATCAAACTTAACAAACTTTACAGAAAAGTTGCAAGGAAACGTTGTGGTGTAGTGGTATGACGCTAGGCTTCGAACCTATTTTGTTAAGTAATAGGTGTTGGGTTCGATTCCAATTCATGAAATGTTCTTTTAAATAATTCTTTTTTTTATTTTTTCTTTGTTTCAAATAATTTTAAAAATTGCCAAATCATTTTTTAAATTTTTTTAAAAATGTTAAAAAGATGAATAACCTTCCAAATAATCATAGAAAATGATTTTTGTATAAAAAGGGGTTGTTCTCTCAATAAAAAATTTATTTTGCCTGACTAAACAATAATGTTTCAACTTTTATTCAGTTTTTTGGTTTGTTTATTTTTCTAAATTTATTTCCTAAATTAATTATTGTTTTACAGACATTATTGGCTCTATACAATGCCTCCGCTGGGAAAGGTCCAGAAATTAGTATGGAAAGTCAAGGACGAAATTGTACATTTTCTGGGGTTGGAAAATGTCCAAAGGGTGCTTTTTGGAATCATAGAACAAAAAATTTAAAAAATCAAAGGTTTTGTGTGCCTTCGTGGTTTGTGTGCCAAACGTTGTTATTACAAAGGGCAATGCCCTGACGGCTATCTTTGTCAACACGCCTATGCCTGTGTTAAAAATATATGTCCACTTTCTGACATGAATTGTTGCGCACACTGCCCTGAGGCTTTTAAAATTTAATTTAAAATAAAGAAAAATTGTTTAAGAAATGTAAAAAGCCTGGAGATTGCCCCCAAGGGTGGAGCTGTTATATTACAAAATGTAGACGACAGGGTCTGAATTTTTTTCTGATTTTTTTCTGAATTCTGATTTATATTTTAATTTCTACAGAGTGTCACAGTAAAAAGGATTGCGAGTTTGAATGGCCATGTCAGGTAAACCAATAATTTATAAAAATAAATTTAAATTTTTAAGATGGGCAAATGTCGAACTAAAGCATGTACTAAAGACAAAGATTGCCCCGAAAATTGGAAATGTGGAAAGACGCGTCGATGTATGAAAACAGTAAAAGATGAATAAAGGAATATTTAAAATTAAGTTTTTGATTATTTAAAAAGAGAATAAAGAGAGAAAAGCTTAGCTTCTAAACAAGGGTATCTTTGGTGTAGTTGGAAAAAGTTCGGTTCCAGCTACCACGAAGGCTTTTAATAGGTAACGGTTCGAATCCCGCCGGTGTTAAATAATTTTTATTTGTGAATAAAATAATTTTTGATGAAAAAAATTGTCAAAAAAATATTTTAAGGGTTAAAATAAAATTTTTTAAATATAAAAAGACGGTTTTTGGTGAAAAATATTTAAAATTTGGCAAAAATAAAGCTTTTTGAAGGTTAAATAAATTACTGAAAATTGTAAAATTCTTATTAATTCGTATTTTTCACATCCAAATAACTTAAAAAATTTTCTTTTATTTTAAAAATATTTTTAAAAAATTATTTACATAAGCAATCCAGCCGAAAAAGTTAAAAGAGCTGCAACAACCAAAAGCATTGTACCAGGAAAAAAGTTTAAAGTAAAAGGGTAAATTCCATTAAACAAAGGAGAAGCAATTAAAAAGCCCAAAGATTGGAGTAAAGACATTAAAGAAAAAATTTTGCCTGGAAAAATTTTTTGAAATTTTTTTGAAAATTTTTTTTAAATTTTTCTTGCCTTGTTCACCAACATTAACACAAGCACTAGCTATTGCCCTTAATCCGGTTGACACAAATCGACCAAAAATTGAAAGAAAAATGGACATAAAGGCAATTAGAGAAGTTTTTGTAAATGCCAAAATTATAACTGAACCAATTTTAAATGTTAATCCAAACAAGGCTAAACGTAAATTGCTTATTCCAATTCGTTTTTGAAGTAAAGGATAAATAAAAATTATCTATAAAAATATTTATAGAAGCATTAGAAAATTAAAATATATAGTCAAACCTCTCTTGTAAAGACCCCTCATTATAAGGTACATATTTGGTGTAACAATAGAATTTTGGATGGGAGAGTGACCTGTCTAAGCGATACCTCCCCTACTTAACATTCACATTATAAAGCACAAGGTTTTTTTAATTTGGTTGGCGAAGTTCAGGGGGAGAGTTGCGTAAGCGATACCTCCCAGTTAAGGTACATCGCATTATAGTGATATACTTCATTATAGGGTGCTTAATTTCAAGCTAAGGGTTTCCAAGCAAGGTCTAACCATCTTTTTATTTTTAAAAAATTTTTTTACACAAAAACTATCAGAACCAACAGCAATTCCATTAAACCAGCCATATTCTTTATCTGTCCATTTAAGTTGAAAACGAAGGAACGAAAATAAAATATCCATTAAACCAGAAAAACTAATAAATTCTACCTAGAAAAAAATTTAAAAAAATTTTTTTCTAAAATTTTGCCTTACTAATAGAGCAACCAAAACAATATTTAAATATTTTTGTTTATCAACATCCCTCTCAGCTTTAAAAATTTGTAAAATATCCAAAAACCGTTTACGACATAAAATACAAAAATTTGATGTTGCTAAAAATAATTTTTAAAAAATTAGAGAAATTTTAAATTTTAGTTCGACCAAAAGGACAGGTTTCTATTTTGTGACAATATGTCAAATTTTGCGTTATATGACAAAATAAAAAAAAAATAAACTTGAATTTTTCTATTAAATTTATTTCCCCAGTTAATCAAGTTTGATAAAAATAAACTTTTTTAAAAACTTATTGAGAATCAGAATTTATTTAGAAAAAATAAACTTGAATTTATTCCAGAATTAATTTTAAATAAGCGTTTTTCAGAATTATTTCCAGAATTTTTTTAAACTTTTTCAGAATTTATTTTCAGAATTTATTTAGTAAAATAAACTTTTTCAGAATTTATTTTAATAAAATAAACTTGAAATATTTCAGAATTACAAAAATAAACTTTTTTCAGAATTTCAAAAAAGCTTTTCAGAATTATTTAAAACTTTTTCAGAATTTTTTTCAGAATTTTTTAAAAACTTTTTCAGAATTATTTTCAGAAGTAATTAAAAAAAATAAACTTTTTCCCCTTACTATTTTTCAGAATTTTTTAAAAACTTTTTCAGAATTTATTTCAGAATTATTTTCAGAATTTTCTTAAAACTTTTTCAGAATTATTTCAGAATTTATTTAGTAAAATAAACTTTTTCAGAATTTATTTTAATAAAATAAACTTGAATTATTTCAGAATAAAAAAATAAACTTTTTTCAGAATTTCAAAAAAGCTTTTCAGAATTAGTTTAAAACTTTTTCAGAATTTTTTTCAGAATTAATTTTAATTTCTCTTTTTCCCCCAACAAACAAGTTTTAATAAAATAAACTTTTTTCCTCCCTTACAATTTTCAGAATTCTGGTTTAAATTTTCTGTAGAAGTTGAATTTCTGATTGTTGTAGTTTCTGTTGTTTCTTGTGTTGTATTTATATTTTTATTAATTAATTCTTTACAGAAAAATATTATTTGAATTAATACAATTAAGTGTAAAACTGTTAAAAACAGGAAAAATAAGGCATAACCAATTAGGCTGAAATTAAAAAAAATTTTCTTCTAAAATTCTACTACAAAATATTAAAAAAATTTTTTTTTGAAATTTTAAAAAATTTTGAAAATTTTTGAAAAAAAAAATTTTTTTTTGAAATTTTAAAAAATTTTGAAAATTTTTGAAAAAAAAATTTTTTTTTGAAATTTTAAAAAATTTTTGAAAAAAAAATTTTTTTTTGAAATTTTAAAAAATTTTTGAAAAAAAAATTTTTTTTTGAAATTTTAAAAAATTTTGAAATTTTTGAAAAAAAAATTTCAAAATTTTTTTAATAAAAATTAATATTTATTTTTTTAATTTTAAATTTTAACTGTCTAAGTTGGCCTGATAACAAATATCCAAACATTCCTCCCAGTCCCATACTGCCTTCTAACAAAGCCATCTAAAAATTGAAAAAAAAATTTTTTAATTAATTATAAAAATACCCTTGTGGGACGAAATGTCGTAGGCGTTACACGAACAGAATAGGCAAAGAAAAGGCCTTTAAAATTAAATTTTAAATTAATTTAAAGAATAAAAAACCTATAATAGAAGTAAATCCTCCAGTAAAACCAAAAATCAAGTCACTAAATAATAACAAATAGGGAGAACATTCCAAACAAATTGATTGTAAAATATAATTAAAATCGGCAAATAAAAGGCCTTAAAATGAAAAATTTTTTTAAAATTTTTTTGAAATTTTTTTTAATTTTAATAAATGAACCTATTAAAGTAATAAATAAGGTTCTGCGAGAACTCCAAGAATCGAACACTAAAAAAAATTTTAAATTAATTTTTAATTATTTTTAAAAAATTTTACTGGTTCCGAGAAACAAGGCAGAAGGAATTGAAGGAAGGAATAAACACAAACTTGAAGCTATCTGGGGAGAAAATTGAAAAAAAATTTGTAAAAATTTTTTTAAAAAATTTACCAATAAATGATTTGCTTCTTTCTGTAATTCCAAATCGGCATGGGTAGCGGAAACATTTTGACAGGTAATTTGGTCAAATCTGCCAGAGCCTAAACAAGCTTTTTCGAAAAGAAGAGACTGAAATACTGGAAATTTGGCAAAAGTAGTAAACATAAACAGAAGCTGAAAAAAGGATTTTTTAATGAAAAAAATAAAAAAAGAAACCATGGAAGGCTCAAAAATAAGCAATTTTTTATTTTCTGTTTGAGAAGAAGGGGTTGGAGGCAAAGAAGAATAATTTGGTTGAGCATTGTTAACATTCTCGGGCATTTTCCAAGCCTTTTTTAAATGTTGTGACTTATAGGGGGTTTTTTTTGGCTGGACCGATTTGGACAAATGAGGTATCATTCGAAAGAGCTCGCCGAGCTGAGTCGAATGAGCTATCATTTGCATTTTCGAATTTTTCACCCCAAAATGAGCTTACTCCCCCCTTCTCTTTTTCAAACTTCAGGGGTCTGTATCTCGGTCCCTGATTGTCGGATCGACTCCACTCGCCCCTCAATCGACTTAGCTCGGCGAGCTCTTTCGAATGACACCTCATTTATCCAAATCGGTCCAGCCAAAAAACCCCCTATAAGTCACAATACCCCCTATTTTAAATAAAAATTAATTGTTTGTTATCTTTTTTAATCAAAAATGGTTGTGGGAATGTTGTAAATTGAATAAAAATAAAAAAGGAAAGAAAAAAAATGTAAAAAATCAAGGCGTTTTTAGATAAAAGTCTACGTTTACGCTGTTAAATTTTATTGCTCTCTACCTTTATTAAACCTCTTCGACTGTACAAATTAGAGAAAAAGAATAAAAATAGTGTAATAAACAGTTATATTTTTAAAGATTTTGAATTATTTTTAGTTAGTTTACACTTTGTATTTTCTTTCGTGTTAAAACTTTTAATAAAGTTTTATGTCGTCTGCCCGCTCTCTTTGTTTAGTGTTATCTCTTTTTATTTGAAAAATTTTTTGGATTTTGTTTCCGAATTTTTCGTTTTTTCGTTAAAATTTTTTCGATTAAAAAAACTAAAAATTGCTCAATATCCTACACCAAATCCACAACCGGCTCGCGGTATTTATGGATTTGTATTTTATTTGGCTTCTTGGATTTCTTTAATAATTTATCTCTGCTGGGCTTTGGTTTATCTTTCTTCTTTTATTAATTTTAAATTCAAATTAATTTTTTTCAGATTCCAGATTGTCTTCTTAAACATTTTCATTTGACTTATTTACCAGCAAAATATTGGGCTGTTGCTATTCCTTCATTTTTAATTTTCTTTATTTGTATGTTTTTTAAATTTTGTTTCTTATTTTATTTTTTTAGTTGCATATATTTTAATTTCTTTATCATTTAATGCTCTACATTTAAATTATTTATTTACTACTGATCATAATTCAATAAGTTTGTCTTTGGTCAACGACTTTATTGACTGGTTTGTTTTTTTGGTTTTAGTTGGCTAGTTAGAATTAGTAATCGAGCTGGACTAGGCTAGCAAGGAAAGGTTGCATTCTTTATCGAATGAGCCCGGTCTTGACCGTTTTTAGGTTGGACACCTCGCAACCTTTCCATGTAAGACTTCCTGCACACAGATGCCTGACTAGTTGCTTTAGGGTTTTCCTAGACCTCGGCGCTTCACTTCCATGTTTTCTTATCCAACGTCCTGGCACAGAGTCCACATTTGTTTTTTTAGGCTTTTCCTAAATTTAGGCGCTCCCCCACCTCTGTTCTGATTATCTACCGACTGATGAGCTACAGAGACTATAACTCTATTTTCTCTCTCACTGATCCTTAACTCTCATAGTTTCTTTTTTTTTCTTTCTTTCCTACAAAATTTATTTCAGAAAGGAATGCCTCTTTACTTAAAATTGCTTTGTTCACATGGAATTCCCACTTTTATCCTTCTCCCGAGATCAACTACCAATTTGATATTCCGACTCAATCAATCCTCTTCAGCACCGATAATGGTAGCTAAATATAGAAAGGATCAGCTTTTGCGTGAATTGAATAGAAGATATGAACGTTCACTAAATTTTAAAAAGAAACCAAACAAATTGACAAACGATGGAGAACTACTCCCAAGAATTGGATCTATTGCTGCACAAAGAGTTTTGAGGTATAACAAATTTGTTTTTTGAGATTTTTAGGTCGCTTTTTGGTGTAGTTAGAATTTCAGATTCGTAACGGAATTGAAAATTTTTTCCCGGGATTTTGTAATGGGATTGAATTTTAAAAGGTCGACCGGGACGGGATTACGCAGCTTAATCCCGGTAATCCCGTTTGTCGCTTAAGCTCTGATATTTCATAAAGAGTTCGCGTCCCGGGCCGGTCTCTTGTCACCTATTTTTGAGTTTGTTTGAGTAATGGGATGAATCTTCACCTATTTATAAATTTTTTTTTTAGTTCTGACAAGGAACGAGTTGAATTAATTAATGAAAGGGCTAGAAATGTTTACAAAAAAGAATTTATCAATAAAACTCAAAAAAAGAACGAACAAGAAATTTTACCTTACAAAATTGAGCAAAATCCTGATTTGTTTGATAAAAGTGGGGGTGAATTGGAAAAGTCTTCCAAAGAATTTAATTCAGGTTTTTTTTTAATTTTTAGTTTAAATTTAATAATTATTGGTTTAAGAGGCTAAAGAACAGGATAGAAGTGATGTTGGTTTCTTTGTTTCTGATAATAAATTTTGTGATGATTATGCAATTGCAACTACTGCAGACCTTCCAGAGGATGAAATGACAGAGTATTTTAATTTTTTATTAATGTTTGAATTAGTTTTTTAGACCAGAAATTGCGTATTATGGAAATGTTAATGAGGCTGTAGAAAATATTGAATTTCAATTACCTTTGCAAAGTCCAACTCCGAAGGTTTGGAAATTTGTGTAAATTACGATCTGACCCAGTCCTTTAAATTTTTCGACGATTTTTTTGGGATTTTCCTCTTCCCTTGGTTATGGGCTTTCGGACTTTACTTTTATTTAAAATATTTTTCAAATTTAATTGACTTTGGATTCGAGAGTTGCCTAACAATGTTGGGGGATCCGGATATCCGAAGATTTCTCAGGATCCGCCAACCTTATTGCCTAATCGATACCTCTAATAAGGTATAAATTTTTCAGCCCAAGGGCTATTTAAAAGTTATCTTTCGACTATTTTAAAATAAAAAAATTTAGGGAAAGAATATTTCCTCTGAAGATGCTTTAGAATCTGGTGAATGGTTAAGTAATTACGGAACAACCGAAATCAAAGAGGATCAACTCAAAAATATTAAAATTCTTGATTCAAAATGTGAGAGTTGTGGAGCACAATTTCATTGTCATAATTCTTCTCTTCCTGGGTTTTTTTAAATTTTTTTTAATTTCATAAAATTTTTTTAAAGCTTTGTCCCTTTGGAGTTGTTCAATGAAATTAAGAAAAATTCCAAAAAAATTCCTTTTTATCAAAAAACTGGATATACTTGTAGACGTTGTTTTCTTCTTAAAGAATATAATTTTCTGGTTAGTTTATAGCTATTCAAAAAAATTTTTTGAAAATTTTTAGAAAAGAAATTTTCGGAAATTTTTTTAAAAATTCACAAAAAATTAGAAAATTTTCTTGAAATTTTTTTAAATTTTTTTTGAAAAAAAATTCAAAAAAAAATTTTTTTTCTTAAAGTTAAATGTAAATGTTTGTGAACTCGATTATAATGCAATGATGGGACATTTAAAATTAGTTCAAGAAGCTCTAATTCTTTTAATTGTTGATTTGACTGATTTACACAGTTCCATTCATCTTGATTTGCCGAGGATTATAGGGCCTAAAAAGCCTTTAATTGTTGTTGGTTTGTTTAAAAAAATTTTTTTTTGATTTTTTTTTGATTTTTTAAGCAAGTCTGTTAGTTAATACACTTATGTAAGGATGGGACGGGTTGGGGAATAAGCGTGTAGTGTTTCTGATTTTGGTTGAAAAAAGTTTAGGTTCTAACTATAGTTTCGGGTCACCTGTCAGATCCTCATAACTACTGTCTCGTCCCTTATATGGTTTTTCGTTTTATGTCTTATTTAGCTAAATTTTTAGTTTTTCTCATACCAATTTTTTTAATTTTAAAGGCAATAAAGTAGATTTATTACCTCCTGACACTCGAACTGGATATTTGCGTCATTACCAAAGATGTCTTAAAAATGCAATATCTGAAGCGGGAATATCTCAAGAATTCAATATTTTAAAATATATGTTAATTAGTGCAAAAACAGGTTTTGGAATAGAAGAAATGATAACTGTAAGGAATTAAATTTTTTGTGATCACCCCTGTGTATCGAACTATGTATCGATTGCTTTATCGAAAACGGAGAATTGTTTGAACTTAAGGGAAAATTTTTTTCTATTGACGAGGAAGGTTGTTCCAACAACGGACAACCTTCCCCGTCGTTGGAATTTTTTGCAGATTTTCCGCAAAAATTTGCGGAAAATCTGCAAAATTTTTTTCATCGTTTTTAATACAAGCGGGCGATATTTAGAATGTCGGTACACAGGATTGAACTCTTTTTTTAACTAAAAATATTTTTTAAAGAATATTTATCAAAATTGGATTGGACCTAGAGGAGTATTAAGAGGCGATATTTATGTGATAGGATCTACTAATGCTGGAAAATCGTTTGAAAAAAAAATTTTTTTGAAAATTAATTTTTTTAATTTTTAAAGGACTTTGTTTAATACTTTAATTCAATCTGATTTGTGTAAAGTTAGAGCAATGGATTTGGTTGAAAGAGTGTAAGTGGGAGGTTTTTTTTGAAGAATTCCTTGGGTCCAACCCCTAGGGTTTGGAAATTGAAAAGAATTTTTTTCGTTGATTTACTCTTTCCTTATTTTACAATTTTGAAAAAATTGACTGTCTTCCTTATGAAAAAAATTTAAAATTAATTTGAATTTTAAATTTAATATTAATTTTTTAAAATTAAGATAACTTTGAAAAATAATTTTTTTTAACGTTCTTTAAAAAATTTTTTCTTGTTAGAACAACATCAATATGGCCTGGGACAACACTTTCATTACTAAAATTTCCATTAATGAATCCAACACCTCAAAGAATGGAAATGAGAAGGCAAAGATTAATTAGTTTAAATTCTTGGAGAAGTAAAGTAAGTGGAGGTTATAAGGATGACATTTTATCCCAAATTTATAGGAAGAATTTGTTCGTAAATCTTTTTATGAAAAAACTAGTGATACAAAATATGCTGTTTTACAAGGAATTGTTGAAAATACGTACAAGGTTTTTAAATTTATTTGCGGAAAATCCGCACTTTTTTTCGGATTTTCCGCAAAATTTTAATTTTTTTGTTTTAATTTTAAAGGAAAAAGAAGAGGATTTACAACCAATTTCAACTTTAAAAATTATAAAACAATTTAATAATGAATTAGATGCAAATGAAGTAGAAGAATTGGTTAATGAATCCGAAAAAGTGCCTAATATGACTTTGAATGATAGAGTTTTTATGAAGGGATTTTGGTGTTTTGATACTCCTGGAACTGTGAATAAACAACAGGTTTGTGGATTTTTTAAGGAGTTTTTTTGGGGTTTTTAATGGTTGAATTTTATGATCCATCATTTTACAAAATTTCAAGACGTTTAAAAAACAAGTGTATCGAAGAGAAAAATCCAGCTAGCATTTAAAACGCTCACTAGAGTTTAAGATTATTAAAAGAGAAGGTGATAGCTAGTTGGTAGAGCTCCTGTACATGGCGAGCAAAAGCGCATAGCAATAACTGCTAGGAGGTCGCAGAATCGAAGCCTGCCCGGGATTGAACTTTTACCTCACTTACTCAATAAAACGTCAAAATAACAAAATTATTTTACTGGGTTCATCATTTAATGGTGTAATTAGAGTGAATTTCTTGGGTCATTTAAAATTTTTTTTTAATTTTAGATATTAGATTTATTTACGTTGAAAGAATTAATTAATATAATTCCTCGTTCAATAATTTTGCCACGTATATTTATTCTTTATCCAAATGAAAGTTTACTTTTGGGAGGAGTTGGAAGAATTGATTTATTGAGTGATGAATCAACTGCTAAAAATATGCCTATTTTTGTTTGTTTTTTATTAATATTTCTTAATCCGCAAAAATTTGCGGATTGTCCGCAAAAAAAAATTGCGGACAAAATTTTTTTTATTTTTTAAGTTGACAGTTTTTGCTGGTGAAAATTTAAAAGTTAATGTAATGAGAACAAATTATGTTGACACTTTTCTTGAAAAAAATAGAGGAAATCCATCACTTGGTGCACCTATCGGAAATGTTGAAAGATTAAATAAATTCCCAAAGGTTTTAAAAAGATTTTTTTGAAAATTTTTTTTTTAATTTTTAGTTGGAATATAAAGATTTTTTTATTGAAAATGATTTTTATTTGGAAGACGATGAACGTGGAATTGCTGATATTGTTTTGTCTTCACTTGGTTGGGTACTTGTGACAACTAAAATGAGTTGTGTTAATGTAAGGGAGTTTTTTTTTTTAATTTTATTTCTGTATAGAATGCTATAAATTATTTTATTAAAATATTTTTTCTGGAGGAAAACTAGTTTTTTTAAAATTCAAATACAAATACGCCCTTTTTTAAAATTTTTGTCCGCAAAAATATTTGCGGACAAACTTTGCGGACTTTTTTTTTGTTAATTTTTGAATTTTAAAGATACGTGCTTGGACACCTTCCGGCCGTGGTTTAATAACTCGACAACCACCAATTTTGCCCTATGCCGCCGCTTATAGAGGAAGAAAAATTTTTGGAACTTCAACTTTTCAAACTAAAAAATTGGCAGAAATTGAAACATTCTCCCACACCCAACGAAGTGTTAAACCTGGAAAAATTGTTGGAAAAAATTTTGAAATTGATTCTTCTTATAATGAACCTTATCGTTTTGTTAATTTTGATATAGTTTAATTTAATTATTGTGATTTTTTAAAAATATTTTTTGATAAAAATTTTTATTAAATTTACCAAATATTCGATGTATAAGACGTTTTTTAAGCGTATTTAATTATTTTTAAATTTTATGTTTAAAATTTTATTAAATTTCAAGGATGGATGTGCTTTTAAATTACAATATTTATGTTCCTGCTACTGTGTTATCTTCATTTCTAATTTTGTTTTTGTGGCTGTTTGAGATAAGGTTTGGAAAATTTTTTTGCTAAATTGTTACAAAAAAGTTGCGGACTTTTTTGCAACCCAACTAAAAATTCTTTTTTTTTAAGTTTTTTGCTTTTGTTTTCGTCATTGGTTGCATTCTCTATTGGATTTTTAATTTGCCGTGTTCTACTTCAAAACCCACAATATTGCATTTGGTTACAACATGTTTTTGCTAACATTATTTATGAAGATAAAGAACTTGTGGAGGATATGAAGGAAAAATTAGAGGTATATTTTTAATAATTTTGATTTTGAAAATATTAAAATTTTCAAAAAATTTTATTTTAGGTTGACAACGAGCACTTACTTAAAAACCTAAATGATAGTAAAGAGACCGAGGAACCAACAATTAGACCTTGGGATCGGCTCAAACTTGATGAAAATTTCAATAATGAATTGGATGAATTTTTTAAAACTTTGGTCATAAATTATGTTAATAGTTGGTTTGTTTTTTATTTTCTTTTTCAATTATTTTTTAATAAATCCGCAAATTTTGTCCGCAAAAATTTTTGCGGATAATTTCAATTTATTTTTAAAAATAATTTTTTCTAGGTACAACGAAAATTTAAGTGAAGATGAATCTTTCACATCAGAAATTCGTCAATTAATAAGACATTCTTCTGCAAAAATTTTGACAACATTTATGGAAGCTGACGTTTTACAAATATTTACTGATGAAATAATTCCTGTTATTATTGCACATGTTGAAAGAGTTGTGAGAATATTAAACGAATTTTCTTCTGAACGTTTTTCTTCATTTGAAATACAGGTTTTGAAATTTTGTAACCCTTTTTGGAGTTTTTTTTACATTTGACTCTCTTGGAATTTTTGACACTTTGGCCCTCTTGGAATTTTTGACATTTTGACCCTTTTGCGCTTATTTATTTTTTAATTTCTGACCCTTTTGCGCTTATTTATTTTTTAATTTTTTAAATAATTTTTTAAAGTCTGTTTCATTAATCGAATTAAAAATTTTGGAACAATGGCCTCCTGACTCACATTTTGCTACCTTATCTCAAGAAAATCAACTAGATTATCTCCGAGCATTATCAGACTCTCTTATTTGCAAATTTGTTGATGATATTAGAATTGGTGGTTGTTTTGTGGATGAAGAGCATCAAAAAATGTTAAATAGAGAGGGAGCTATTCCTTTTTCTACAAAGGTTTTTTTTTAATTTTTGTGAGTTTAGAGTGGTTGGAGCCTGGTTCTATTTTTGATTTTTGGTCATATTTTCTTAGGCTACGGAATTTGGTCCTATTTTTCGAAACCACGGGGTTTGGAATATTTCCGTCCTTTTTAATTTACTTCTAAACCAGTTTGCGACAAAGTTATTTAAGGAGAGGAATTTTTGTTTATATTTCCCTATGTTCTCTTGTTAAGCAAATCTAATAGTCTACAAACTTGTTAGGATAGCCTACAACCACCGGATTTTTCTTATTTTAATTTTTACTTATTTTTTAGTGGTCCTGTCATAGTTCTCGTCACTTTTTAAGGGAATTGCTACTTTCAACAGTTCTAATTCCAATAATTGATTTTTGTTCTGATCCAGATTCTTTAAATTATTTTGCTCTTTCATTTTTGAATCAACCTACTTTTTATGATTCGTTACATTCCGCAACAAAAGATGTTGGCTTAACAGAAAATGTTTCTAATTCACAATCTAATGTAAATTTATTTTTATTGATTTTTTAATATTGGTTTTAGGAGTGTTAGAAATACCTAGAAAATTTGACCATTTTGTGATTTTTTTTAATTTAAAGATTTTTGACCCTTAAGATTATTTGACTTTCTGACCCTTTTGGATAACTTTTTGATTCTTTTGGATTTTTCTATTTGTGACCCCTTTGGGTTCTTTTTTCGATTTTTTACCCTTTTGGTAATTTTTTGATTGTTGACCCTTTTGAGATTTAATTTATTACTTTCCTTTTTTCAGAATTTTCTAAATAAATTTTGTGAACAAACTTGTGCTCATTCACCAGATTCGTTACTTTGTCTTAAACTTTCTGATTTGGTACGTGATCCATATTTGGTTAAATTATTTGAAATTTATATTCGTGATTTTAATGGGCCAGTTAAATATTTGGATTGTTTTATTCAAACGAGAGAAATACATTTAAAAATACAAAAGGTTTTTTAATTAAATTATGGTAATTTTTGGTTGTTTGTTGGTCGATACATTTTTGGGTAATTAGATTTTAAGGTTTCAACTTTGTTTTTAAATTTTGTTTTTGGGTGAATTGTATAGGAATCACTTGTTTTCAGAAAGCATTGGGTTTTCGGTTTTAAATGGGATTATTGAGGAGTGTGCCGAATTCGGGGTGCGACACTTGCGGACCGACACTTGCGGACCGACTTTTGCGGACCGACATTTGCGGACCAGACATTTGCGGACCGACATTTGCGGACCAGACATTTGCGGACCGACACTTGCGGACCGACACTAGAGTAACAACAAAAACAAAACAAAAATTTTACAAATTAGATAAAAATTTATTTTAAAATGATTATCTTAAAATTTATTTCAAATAAAATTTTATTGCTTTTTACCAATTATTAACTTAGTGGGACGAAACAAAAGTTTTTGTTCAGGGGGACGAAACAAAAGGGGACGAAACCAAGCGCAGCCCAAAATATTCGTAAATTTAGTTATTCCAATTATCAAATCCATTTGAGGCTAATCTATATTGAAGAGCACGTAAGTGGTTAATCACTTGCTCAGGAGTTGGGTTTGCATTTGCATCGAAATTAACAACTAAAGTTCGTATTGCTCTTTCATTATCCATGTATTGTTTTCTTCTGGATCGCAAAGTTAATCCTAACGTTGGATCTAATTCGTATGTACTTATGCGATCTTGTGCTATTCTTTCCTCCTCTTTTAACACAATGATCAACCTTAATAAAGAAAGAGTTTGCTAAAGTTTAGCCACCGGGCAGGACCTGCGACCACCTGCTAGTTGTTGCTAGGCGCTTTTGCTCACTATATGCAGGAGCTCTACCTCTGAGCTACCGGGGCATCGACTAATGCTTTCACTTTTTCCTTTTTGAATATTTATCCCCCGCCTAAGCGTTTTAAATGCTGCTAGGTGAATCATCCTTACAATAATAAAAATAATCTTATAACATTTGTACTTAACTTAGAAAGAGGGGGTACCATCCCCAGACCATCTTCTGTAGGTAGAGAGCCGTTGTAGTCCCAGATCAGTAGCAAATATAAAAAAGACTGATTCATCCGGATTATCTATTCGTGAGTCATAAAGCAGAAACTTTGACCGTTATAATCATTTGCAAAATTGCCCTACACACTAAGTAGTTCAAATACAAATACCTCAATAATTATATTTTGTAATTCCTTAGCGCGACCACTCTGCGTTCAGGTATTTCTCTTTGACTCTGTGCAGAATAAGAAAATCTTTCTAGTTGAAATAAATTTCGAGATAAACATTTTAAAATAAATTTTTATCTAATTTGTAAAATTTTTTTTCGTTTTTGTTTTTTGGTGGTACTCTAGTGTCGGTCCGCAAATGTCGGTCCGCAAATGTCTGGTCCGCAAATGTCGGTCCGCAAATGTCGGTCCGCAAAAGTCGGTCCGCAAGTGTCGGTCCGCAAATGTCGGTCCGCAAGTGTCGTGTCGCCGCCGAATTATTTTGTGGATCCGGATCCGAAAAAGGTTAGATGTTCGAAAACTTCGATTCGGATATCTGGGGATTTTCCAGGATCTACCAACCTTGGGGGAAATGTATGAAACGAGTAAGCGGTATGGTTGTGGTATTCTTGGATGTCTGGCACGCATGGTCATTTCTGTCATTCTTTAATCTTTTTTTAAATTAAAAATTTTTTTTTAAATTTTAAAGTTAAATAATGATGAATGTTCTAATTTATCACAACAAAAATGTATTTCTACTAATAATTCTTTAGAGTTATTTGAAGAAATCAAATTAGCAACAAAACAACTCTATGATAATTTTATTTATTCTGGAGAAAATAAAAATCATCATTTAATTTTTACAAAATGTTTAATTGAAAAATTTGAAAATTATTTTTTTGGCAAAACTCAAAATGATGAAAATTTAAAAAATTTGGAAAATTTAATTGAAGGAGTTTACCAAGAGGTTTTTTATTTTTTTGGGAAATGTTGAGGATTTCTGAGCCCCCATTTTTAAAAAACCCTCTTTTTCAATGTTCCTTTTTTTTGTTGAAGATGCAGCATAAGGCTGATTTGAGATACCAGACCTCCAAAAAGCCGCCGAAATACCAAGCTGTTGAGGAAATTTTTTTAACAGCAGGGAAGGTTGTTTGTATTATGGCGTTTGGTATTTCCACGACTTTTGGCATTACGGCCGAATGCTACTTGAAAGGGAAGCTCGCCCTTACCTTTCTCAACCCTTACCTTTTAATTTAGATTTTTTTATTTAAATTAAGGTTTATCAATTTCTTCAATACAATTATGTTATTCCTTTTTATCAATCAGAAAATTATTTGGGATTTCTCTGTGGTGCCCCTCCAGAATTTGATGAATTAATTAGAGGAATTGAAGAATCTAATGATGATGAGGAGAAATTTCCAAAAGTTTTGGATTCGTCTTTTTCTCTTTCACAATTTAGGTTTTTTGAAAATTTTTTAATTTTCGTTTCTGAAAAAAATTCCGGGAAAGCACTTGGGGAATTCGGCCCTTTTGACACTTTTAGGCCTATTTTGTGATATTTGTCTAAAGAAAACAACAAAAAAGGTGGCCGCGAAAAATTAACGAAAAATAAATGTTGTTAATAAAAGTCTAAACCCAATTTAGACTTTCTCCAAAAATTTATAAAGTTTAAAAAACTTTATCAAAAATAAGAATAAATAAAAAATATTTATTTTTAAGTTTAAATTAAACAAAAATTTTATATTTTTTAAAAGGTTATAGAATAAATTGAAAATTACATAAAAACGAAGAAAAATATATAAAATTTTGTTTTTCCTTCTTTTCTTTTGTTCTTTAAGTCGCGCCTGGCAGGTGCAGAACAAAACCGATAAAGAAGAAACTAAAATTTCTAAATAAAAATAAAATTAAAGGCTAAAGATTAAAAATAAATTTATAAAAAATTAATATTTAATAATATTTAATAATATTAATAAATATTCGAATATAATGATAATTTATCATTATATCAATTTTTTACATGTCTCTGACTTTTTGGATTGACCATTTTGTGATTTTTTTGACTTTTTTGACCATTTTGTGATCTTTTGATTATTTTGGCGATTTTTTAAAAATAATTTTATTTTTTAGGAAGAAACTATTTAATTTTATTGCTCCGTCAAATCAAGTTGTTTCAACCCAAAATTCTTCCTCTTCCCCATTTTATCCCTCATATTCAACGTCTGATTTGGAAGGATTTGATAAAGATGAGATTATTATAAATAATATGGTTGGTGGAGAATATTATGAAGGAAATGGAGAAAATGCTACAATTGCAATGAGCGATATGGGAAGAAATTTAAATAAATGGAATGTTAATATTGTTGGAATTGAACAACGTGGAGGTGATGGAATTGGTATATTTTTAAATATTTTTATTTAAAAAATTGGGCTAGTTTTTCTTTTACGCCTATTTTTTCTTAAATTTGGGCCTAGTTTATACGTATACTCCCAAAACCAATTCCCTTTGATTTATGATACGATGTTAAGCCATTGGGTGAATTGGATAAACTGGTTTGAGAAAGATGTCGGGTCGAGTTTCAATTGAGTTTTCAAAATTTTCTTAGGATCGGGCTTCAGATTTTTGGTTGAAATTTGGATTTGTTTCTCTTGTTTCAGATACCTAGCCCATCCCTTTTGGTTAGTCAGGAGTTCTTCAACCAGAAATTCAACCGATATCCTCGATTTACTATATTCCTTATTATAAGGTGGCTTCAGATTTCTGTTAGAAAAGATCTGGATTGGCTCTCGGTTTTCGAGTACCTATCCCCGCTTCTTATGGATAGTCAGGAGCTGTCCAACCGATGCCCTCAATCTACTATACTCCTCATTATAAGGTAGACAGGAGTTTTTTCCATCCCTTGTAAGTGTATCTAAAAATTAGTTTCGACTAAACTTTCTTAAAAAATTATTTTTAAAAATTTGTTTTATTTTAAGTTAATCCATATTTCGTTTTCAATATATTTGTTGAAAGAAATGATTTATCTGATGACCAAATGTTAAATTCCCAAATTTCTTTAACTGAAGAACATGTCGAAGAAGAAGATGAATTTATTGAAAAATTGCTAAAAACATGGAATGTTGGGCATAAATATTTGGAATTTTATGCTTTAGAAGACAAAATTAAAGATTATTATGGAACTTCAATAAAAAATATATTGTCATTACCTGATAGAAAAACAACTTTACAATTATTGCGGATTGGTAGAAATAATAGAACTTTAATGGAATCACATAAAATTTATTTTGAACGTTTTTTACAACAATTAGTTCAACAGGTTTTCTGATATTTTTTATTTTATAATAGGATAGGGGTTTTGTCATGCGACCAGGGGATAATTATGGATTTGTCGGGTCGAGGTAGGAGATGAATCATGTGTTGATTAGATTTAGAAAAAGTCTTATTGGGGTTTCAAAATTTTCTTAGTGTCGCGTTTTGGTTCAGAAAATCGAAAAGAGTTCAGGTTTCGGGTACCGTAAATGCTTGAATAATTACCTCGGTAATTATTGTTTCAACCTCTTGCCAGATGGGGTAATTAGTAATTGAGCAGGGGCAATTATTTGAGAGAGGGCAATTATTCGAGCATTTACGGTAACCCAATCTCTTCTTGATATTAACACGATTCCTGCAAGAAATCTTCTCTTTGATTGATACACAATAATCTTGTGGGGAATTTTTGGGGAGGAATCGTCAAGGGAGAGAGGGTTGGGGATTTTTCAAATAAAACCTTCAGATTCCACAATTTTCGGTAATTGAGTAAAGCGTCCTTTTTATGAGTAAAATATTTTCTAAATTTATTAAAAAAAATTTTTTTATCATTTTTAAGCCCTTACTTAAACGTTCTGATCTTTTATATTTATTTCTTACATCTGAAGAAGATTCTAGTGGATTTTTTTCGCCTTTAACAGAAATTAATGATTCAATAACTACTAGCAGTATTTTATCAGATTTAAATCCAATTAAAGCAATGAGGAAAGCAGCAAAAGAAAGAGGACAAAATTTGAAGCCTTTTATTTTAAATTTATTAGCAAATGTATTAGCCCCTCCAACTTCAAATAAAAATTTTGTTTCAAATTCTTCACGTTTGTCAGCAACACAAAGACAACATTTCTCAAATTCGCCGTCCTTGGAATCTACAAAATCTTCGTTTAATTTAATGATGAAAAAATTTGTTTTGGAAGAAGAAGTGAATAATGCAGAGAAAAAGTAGGGGGGTTTTTTGGAATAAAAAATTTTAAAAATTAAAAAAAATTTTTTAAGGTCGACAACTGAAAATTTGAAAAAACGCCAAAATCCTTTTAATAAAAATAGTGGATCAAGAAATTCACCTATTAACATAATAGAAAGTACAGATGAACAAATTGACGAGAATATTTGGAATAATAAATATAGCCTTAAAAGGTTTGTTTTAATTTTTACTATTTAAAACTTAAGGGGGGGGGAGTTGTTTTGAATGTTTTTTTTGACACAAACCAACAACCCGTGGCATCCTGTTTGTTCGTAACTGGTTTTGTCTGGTTGGTTTTCGATTTTTAGTTTTATTTACCCCCCCCCCCCTCTTTTGGTTTTTTTTTATTTTTACCTAAATGTTGAGTTGTTAACGGAAGGTTTTTAAATGAAATCTGTGCTTGAATGCCTCTTAATTTAGATATTTTAAAAAATAAATGAATTTTTTTTCTTTTAAAGAAATTTATATGAAATTTGCCTATTTTTATTTACAACATTGGGATTTGTTAATTTACCAATTTGGTTTGAAGCTTTTCTATGTTCTCTTCATAAATTTATTGGATATTTATTTTCACTAATTTTTTATAGAAAAATTGAGAAAAGTTTGAAAGAAAATTTGTTAAATGTTAATACAGCAACTAATTTAGGTAAATTAAAATACTTTCTGGCTCTGTTTTAGTTTATGAGTTCAATAAAAAAAATTTTAATTTTTAGGCTAAAGAATGTCTCTTCCTTTAGGCTCCCAAAAAGTCCGCAAATTTAATTTGCAAAAAAAATTTTTTTTGGGTTCTTTTCCAGTTTTTGCACTCCCTTTTCTTTCCTCCGTTTGACTCATTAATTTTCATTTGACTCATGAACCAGACAAGCAAGGGCGTAGCCAGAGGGTCGATTTCGGGGGGGGGGGGGGGGGGGGGACCCGAATTTTGCGGACCCGAAATTTGCGGAACGAAAGTTGCGGACCCGAAGGTTGCGGACACGAAGTTTGCGGACCTGATCTTTGCGGAACCAAAATTTTAAGACCGACACTTGAGTAAAAAGGAAAAATTAAAAATTTTATTATTCGAGTATTTCGACAGAGTTTACCATAATCAGACCGGATTCATGATTTTTTATTAATTTTTCAAAATTTTTATCAATTTTTTATCTTAAAATTATTTCATAATTCAGATAATCGAGAAAATTCCTTAAAAAATCATTTATATGGCCATTTCATAAGGTCATGATGCCTGAATTTATTCTAATTAACGCCGCAGGCTAAAATTTTTGAAATTTCCGAGGTTCAGTAGACTCTATTGTCGGTCCGCAAATTTTTGGTCCGCAAATCTCAGATCCGCAAAATTCGGGTCCGCATAGTTCGGGTCCGCAAAATTCGGGTCCGCAAAGTTCGGGTCCGCAAATTTCGGGTCCGCAAATTAAAATCCGCAAATTTCGGCGCGCCCAGATTTCTTCCATTTTTAGCGCCGCAGGCGAAAATTTTTAAAATTATGAAGGCCGTAGGCCAAAAAATTCACTTTTTTGCTAATTCTTCCCCTAATTTTTCTCCCCTTTCTCCCATTTCGGGGGGGGGGGGGGGGGGGGGGGGGCTTTAGCCCCAGAAGCCCCCCCTTGGCTACGCCCTTGCAGACAAGCTACAATTTTTAAAGAAAATTAACTGAAAATTTTATTTTTTAAAGTTAAATCACTTCATGAACTTGTCAATTCTTGGAATATGCCCAGGTAAAAAATTTTTAAAATCATTTTTGTTCTTGTCCAATTTATCAGTTTCAAACTTTTCGGGCCTCTTCCTTTGGGCTTTTAAAGTTTGTAGATTTTCAAACATTGTTGCGGATTATGTGAGTTGAAAATTATCTGACTTGCGGATTTTATCCGCAAATTCTAGATACTCTGCGTCTTTTAATTAATCTTTAAAAATATTTTTTGTTTCAGTCAATGCCCAACTCCATCACAAATTTCAGTAGCTTCCTCTGCTGCAGCATTAACTAATTTATTACAATTAGATAATAATAAAATATTACAAGAAGAAATTAGGAGAAAAAGGGTAAATACTTCTGCTTCTGAACAGGTTAGTTATTTTTTTTAAAAAGGAATTTGAATTATTTTATTGATTTTTGGGAGGAATGTTTATATATAGAAATGTGCTTATTTCATTAGGAATTTGATTTTATAGTCACTTTTGTTTTTTCTGTTGAGTTTTTTCAATTCTTCCAAAAGTCCGCAAATTTAATCCGCAAATCTGACAATTTCTTTAATTTCTTAAAATTCGCATGGTTTAACTTGCAGATTAAATTTGCGGACTTTTGGTAGCCCATAGGGAAAGAATTTTGCTTTTTCTAGGGAGTTCTCCTTTTCGGTTAAAAAAAGTCCGCAAATTTAATCCGCAAATCTTCCGTTTTTAATTTTTCTAAAATTCCGTTAATTTTAATTTACGGATTAAATGTGCGGACTTTTTGGAGCCCAAAATGAAAGGAATCCCAAAGACCCCTCAATTCTCCCAAAAATCCGCAAATTTTATCCGCAAGTTATTTTTATCTTTCTAATCTCCTAAAATCCGTATAAATTTTCTTGCGGATTAAATGTGCGGTCTAATTTTCAAAAACAAAAATAATGTGTGACAAGGGCGTAGCCAAGGGGGGGCTTCTGGGGCTAAAGCCCCCCCCCCCGAAATGGGCGAAAAATTAGGAGAAGAATTAGCAAAAAAGTGAATTTTTTGGCCTACGGCCTTCTAAAATTAAAAAAATTTTCGCCTGCGACGCTGAAAAAAATAAAAATATGGTTCAAAAAAATTTGCGTCCAGAACGCCAGGGTAAACGCCAAAAATTTTGCGCACACCCAGTGTTAGCCCCCCCCCCCCCAATCCCCCGAAATCGACCCTCTGGCTACGCCCTTGATGTGTGACCTTGTCTGGATTTTTGATTAATTATATCAACTTTTTTATAGGAACGTCTTTTGCGCACAGAACTTTTACTTCATCGTTTAGAAAAAAAAGTTGAAGAAGAATTATTTCCTTGTTCACAATTAATAAAATGGTTATTTGATAAAATAAATATTACAACAACTTCAACAAAAATAAATTATTCTTCAAATCAAGCAACAGCAATACGCCAATTATTTTTATGTTTTCAAATGCCAGCATTAAATAGACAATTAATTTTTGTACTTTTGGATATTTGTGTACAAAAAATATTTTTAAATAAAAGAAAATGAGAGGGAAATATATATTTTTGAAAAGGTTTATTTTTTCTTTATTTTCTAAAAGTCCGCAAAAATTTGTCCGCAAGTTTATTTTTTATCCGCATTTTATGCTTTTAAGAATATTCCTAGTTATTTTTGATTTCTTTTTTTGATAAAAAAAATTAAATATTAATTAGAGTATCGATCTCTATTACCAAGATTTTTTTAATAGAGATCTTGTCTCGATCCAATCTTTAATATTAATAAATTTGCGGATAAAAGACTTGCGGACTTTTGGAATGTTGCAGAAAATGAAGCGGATTAAAGACTTTCGGACTTTTTTGAAGGATATAAGAAATAAACCTTTTTTGCTTGTAATATTTTGTTCAGTTTTTTTTCTAACGGAATTTTTAAATTTTTGACAATAATTGGAAAAATTAACTGAACAAATAAATTAGAATCTCAACAAAAATATTGTAATTTATTATATGTGTTTATTTTAATTATTGAAAAAAAATTTTTTTTATTAAATTTTAATTTCTTTACTTGTCTATTTTTACAAGGAAATTTTTTTTTATTTATTCCAAATGTCTTAAAAAAATTTTTTCTTAAATTAAGGCGAAAATATTTAATTAAAGATTCAGTAATGCTTATTAATTTATTTTTGTTATTTTGCCTTGTTCTGAAACTCTGCTCAACACAAAATGGGGATGATGATAATCTTGTTGGAAATTTAATTGATTCGAGATCTTCAGGTTTCTTTAAACTTAAAAATTTTTTTTTGTTTAACCTAAAAATCGATTTTTTGATGGTTTTTTGTTCTATTGGTCTAGAGCTATTTTTCTTTTAATTGTATTGCTTTTCTACTAAAAGTCGCAAAAGTCAATTGTGGTGCAGTGGTATCGATACAGGCTGCGCTGTTTTTCCAGTAGAGTTCGATTCTCTGTGGGTCAGGGGTTCTTTTTTCCAATTTATTTTCTCTGTAAGGCCTGGAAAATTTTTTGGAAACCTAAAAATTTTTCTAAAAAATTTTTTTTTTAGTCGCAAGAAAATTGTACAAATGTTATCAAGGAATTGACGGGTCTACAACCACAGAATGTGTTGGAAGAGTTTGTATTCGAGTGACACATAATCAATGTTTTTTTTAACTTTGTTTGAATTTAAATATTAATAATTAATTTTTCTAGCTGGTGCAGACAAACTTTATTGCAAAAACTTTACTGAACCCAGCGATCCTGCTGTAGGAGAATGCATAAAAATGAGTGAGGGGCAAATGCCTGGGCAAAGCGAGGTTTTTTTTAATTTTTAATTTAATTCGTCCTGAAAATTCTTAATGAAATCCCAAAGGTTTTTACGGAAAAGATGCCTTTTTAATCCTAAAATCTTTTAGTGAAACAATCGGGCCTAAAGTTGATTTTTTTGAGAGGTTATTGCTCGAGTTTGCTTACATTAAAAATTTGCTCTTTTAACCCGTTATATAGCTATTCTATTAAAATCACACAAGAACCTTCGTAGTGTAGTGGTAACACTTCCGGCTACACTATCTTTTCTATGAAGGTTCGATCCCTCTGCGTGTTAACCATTTTTTATTTTGATTTTTTTCCCCTACAAAACTTGGGAACCTTCTAAAAATTAGGAAAAAAATTTTTTTTAAAGGAAATGTGTGCTTGTGCAGGAGATTATTGTAATGGATCTCGTCGTTCCTTAGCTAGCCATTTAATTATATCTTTTTGCTTTCTAATTTTATGCCTTTCGTCAACAATTCTCTGCTCATTTTTAGTAGGTTTTTAATTTAATTTTTAAAACAAAAATTTAAATTTTCAAAAAATTAGTATCGCCGCAATTCTAAAAAATATTTAAATACGGAAAAGGAAGTTGTCGAATATTTATTTATTTATTTATTTATTTATTTACACCACTAGGGTGTGACAGTCAAAAATAAAACAATTTAAAGTGAAATTACGAAAAATAAAAATGCTAATAAAAAATGTCCTTAAAATAAAAATCAAAGCAGCTTAGCAAATAAAATTATCTCATTTGTCATTTAAGATATTGGAAATATCCAACTGTTCAAGAAGTTTAGAAAACATTTTGGGTGTATTTTTTTTAATTTCTATAGGAATTAGTGAATAAATTCTAGCAGTTCGAACAAAAAAGGAGTTGTACCGAATCATGGTTGAACAACGTGTTGGTTGTATTTTATATTTTTCGCCCCTAGTTTTTGTTTGTTTTATGATATAGGAATTATTATGGTTAATTTTAATTTTCCCAAATATATTTTGATGAAATAGCTTTAAATCAGCTTTAAGTCTTCGACTTTCAAGGGATTCTACTTTGAAATGTTGTAAAAGTGTTTTGTATGGTGGAATATCTTCTATTTTTACCTTTGTGATTCTTTTGTAAACAAATCTTAAATATCGTTTTTGTATGTTTTCTATTAATTTAATGTTTTTCTTAGTTAAAGAATTCCAAACCGGTGACCCAAATTCTATAATTGACCTTACGTATATATTAAATGCTTCTATAAGAATTTTAGGATCTTGTGATTTTAGAGATTTAATTAATGCATAGCAGTTTCTATTGGCCCTTAGAGATATTGTTTGAATATGTTTATTAAACTTGAATTTAGAAGTGAAGAAAATTCCGAGATCCCTATTCTTGTCTTCATTACTAATTTGGAATATTTTGTGGTTTCCTATTGAGTATTGTAATTTAGGGTTTGATTTACCTATATATAATACTGAGCATTTATTTAATGATATGTTGAGACCATTGGTGTTACAATATTGAATGAATTTATTAATAAATAATTGTAAAGAATTGTTAGATAAATCGGTTTTTTTTAGAATTTGATAGGCTTTGATGTCATCGGCAAATAATTTTATTTTTATTTCAGGAGTGTAACAGAATGTTGGTAAGTCCGATAAGTATATATTAAAAAGGAGCGGGCCTAAGATAGATCCTTGCGGAACTCCACTAGTAATAGAGAATTGTTCAGAATATTCATTTCCTATTTTAACAACAGATTTTCTGTTGTGTAAGTAATTAGAGATCCATTTTAAGAGTGATTTTTCAATTCCTATTACTTTTAGTTTTGTTAAAAGACGTTCATGGGGTATAGAATCAAAGGCTTTAGCTAGATCGAAATAAACTATGTTTATTAAATTTTTATTATCCAATGCAAATGATATATCATCTTGAACCTCAATTAGTTGGGTAGTGACGGATTTGTTTGGTCTGAATCCATGTTGACAATCTGGTAATATACCATTTTGTTCAACATAAATTGATATATGGTTTGCAATAATTTGTTCAATTACTTTTGTGATTGAACATAGTAATGAAATTGGGCGAAATTCTTCTATTTTGGGTATCTTTAATGTTTTTGGTATTGGTATTATTATACTTTGCTTCCATATTTCAGGAAGTGTTGAAGTCATTAATGAATAAGAAAAAATATAATATAAAGGATAATAAAGACTTTTAGCGCATTTTTTAAGGAATATACATGGTATTGAGTCATAAGAAGAGTTAGTTTTTTCAGGTAGCTTAGAAAGAAGATCAAAGATTTGAAGTTCATTTATGATTACGGATTGACATGTATTTTGATTTGTTATAGAGTTTAGATCTGCATTGTCTAATGAATTTTTATTAAATACAGAACTAAATTGGGTACTTAGAATTTGTGCTATTTTATTATCAGCGTATACTAATTGATTATTTTTATCCAAAATTGAAGTTATTTTCCTGTTTTTGGATTTAAGAAATGAAGAGATGTATGAGAATTTTTGACTGATAGTTTGTGTTTTATGCTTTTCTCTATTTTTTAAAAATTTGTTAGTTTCAGAATCTATTCTTTTTGATACATATGAGATTTTACGTGTTAGCTCTGGCGTGGATTTTTGTTTCCACAGATTTTTTAGATATAATGTCATTTTTTCAATGTGTTCGGGTTTTTTGAGATTGTTAGATTTTACTTTAGATTCGGGAACAAAGGAACAAATAACATTATGTATAATCGATTGGAAAGTGAAATATAGTTGATTTATATCAGAGCATTGTGTGAATACTAGATTCCAGTTTATTGTTGAGAAATGTGCATTAATTATTTCATAGTTAGCTTTACGAAAATTTGGATATGTATAATTATTATCTTGGTAATTGTTAGTAGAAGATATTTCAAATTCTATTGTATTATGGTCAGATTTACTTATAGGCGGATTGATTGTTATAGCCTTTATTAATTCATCCTCATTAGTTAATAGTAAGTCTAATATATTTACTCCTCTAGTGGGTTTATCAATTTTTTGTTTTAGTCCTAAACTTTGAATATATTCTAAAAATAATGTTTCTTTGGTATTTTTGGTTTGAGTACTATAATTTTCCCAATCGATATTGGGTAGGTTAAAGTCTCCTAATAAGATAAGTGGGTAGGATACAGCCGATATATCATACAAGATTTGCAAGATAGATTTAAAATCCTTAATGGTTTCTTTAGTGATTGATCTATAAATCAAAATAATACGAATTTTTTCATCTGGGGTTAATAAATCTATACAAGATATCTCTGATAAAGTTTGGGGGATTTCTATTTTAATAAATGGTATTTTATTTGATATAAATAAGCAAGTTCCTCCACCCCTACCATTGGCCCTATCAGTTCTGATAATATTATATGGGGTACCATGTAGTAAAAGATTATCATCAACTATATCAGTCAACCATGATTCAGTAACCCCTATTAACTTATAACGGTTTTCTAATAACAGAAAGTGTAAATTTGACAATTTGTTTTTTAAACTTCTTGAATTAAAATATAAAAAATTAATAGTATTTAATCTATTTAGATTATTTTTTTGAAGTCAGATTTTTTTATTTTTTCTAAAAATGTGAACCTCCGATCTTAGAATTACTGCTTCTCCATAAACTATCCAGTCCAATTGAGGGTTCTCCATTCTCTTCTTTTTGCACTCTTCAATTAGTTCCCTTCGTCGCTGTAATTGTTCTGGTGTCATTGAAGCACGCATATTGACTTGGGGGAAAGATTTCTTGCCATTTGTTTTCCATTTGTTGAGAAGTTCACGCTGAAATTTTCTGGATGGTAAAACAATCTTTAAAAGACGGGCATGACCATTATTGGGTGGGTTAGACTGACGTCCCATACGGTAAAAAAACCTGGGTGCGCACTCAACCCCCACCGAGTCGAGTAAACTTGTTATTGTTTTGGAGTCATCCGCCATTTTCTCTGATGGAAGTTTTTTTGTAGATTCCGTCAAACCAGTCACAACAACACTTCTTTCGCGCTCTAGCTCCTCTGCTGAAATAGTGTTTAATTTTGTTGTTCCTGAAAAATATCCATAAGGTTTTTCTTGTTGTTTTTCTTTAAGTGAATCGATTGATTTACTAAGAAGGTTAAATTGTTCAGTCAGAGTTTTAATAAAGTTTAATAAAATCGGAGTTTGCTCTGTTGTCATAGACGGAATAAAAGTATTGATTGTTGTTAGTGTTGTTTTCACCAAATTGACTTGACAATCAATAAGAAAATTAAGAGAATTTGGATTTTCGTTGTTGTTGCTATTATTGGAGAGAGGCGAAAAATTGGCCTCTGTTGCTGTCCGTTTTGCAGAAATTTTATTTGTAGACATTTTTTTAATAAAAAAATTTTAATAAAATAACCTCTAACGAAAAGAGGACGCCAAATTTAATCACTTAAACTTGGGTCAGGGGTTCTTTTTTCCAATTTATTTTCTCTGTAAGGCCTGGAAAATTTTTTGGAAACCTAAAAATTTTTCTAAAAAATTTTTTTTTTAGTCGCAAGAAAATTGTACAAATGTTATCAAGGAATTGACGGGTCTACAACCACAGAATGTGTTGGAAGAGTTTGTATTCGAGTGACACATAATCAATGTTTTTTTTAACTTTGTTTGAATTTAAATATTAATAATTAATTTTTCTAGCTGGTGCAGACAAACTTTATTGCAAAAACTTTACTGAACCCAGCGATCCTGCTGTAGGAGAATGCATAAAAATGAGTGAGGGGCAAATGCCTGGGCAAAGCGAGGTTTTTTTTAATTTTTAATTTAATTCGTCCTGAAAATTCTTAATGAAATCCCAAAGGTTTTTACGGAAAAGATGCCTTTTTAATCCTAAAATCTTTTAGTGAAACAATCGGGCCTAAAGTTGATTTTTTTGAGAGGTTATTGCTCGAGTTTGCTTACATTAAAAATTTGCTCTTTTAACCCGTTATATAGCTATTCTATTAAAATCACACAAGAACCTTCGTAGTGTAGTGGTAACACTTCCGGCTACACTATCTTTTCTATGAAGGTTCGATCCCTCTGCGTGTTAACCATTTTTTATTTTGATTTTTTTCCCCTACAAAACTTGGGAACCTTCTAAAAATTAGGAAAAAAATTTTTTTTAAAGGAAATGTGTGCTTGTGCAGGAGATTATTGTAATGGATCTCGTCGTTCCTTAGCTAGCCATTTAATTATATCTTTTTGCTTTCTAATTTTATGCCTTTCGTCAACAATTCTCTGCTCATTTTTAGTAGGTTTTTAATTTAATTTTTAAAACAAAAATTTAAATTTTCAAAAAATTAGTATCGCCGCAATTCTAAAAAATATTTAAATACGGAAAAGGAAGTTGTCGAATAATTAATTTTATTTTTTTTTTCTAAATTTAAATTTCTGTCCTCCTCTAAGACACCAAAAAACCTCAAAATATGAGCCATATAATTAATTTTTTTGTATTTTTCAATGAAATCTATCTTTCAATGTTTTATTTGGTAAGGGCTGCTACAGATTTTTTTTAGTTTTTTTATTTTCTAAGATTTGGAGGAAGGTTCACGGAACCTGTGATTCCTTTGGTTTTCTCCCTTAAGGGAGTAAATATAATATATGAAAAAAAATTTTTTTCCACACAAATAAAAAATCCTTTTTCCAGCAGCCTTCCTTATATTTTTCTCTATAAGCTCTCTATTTACTCTTTAATTAAATTATGTATATCACTTAAAAATATATCCCACACGTGATATCTAAAAGCATTTATTGCTAACTATTTTACCAAATATATAAAATACCAAAGACACGCCTTTTTTAAAAATTAATTTTTTTTTATTTCGGCAGCTTATATTTACTACTAAATAAATTTTTTTTTAATTAAAAAAAGAAAAATAAAATAATAAAAAATTTTCAACTTGTACTACTAGGACATAATAAATCGGCAATAAATTGCCATTCATACATTGTATTAAATTCGGGAATTAATGAAGTTATTGAAGACAGTGTTTTTGAAAATTTCTAAAAAATTTTTAATTAAAAAATTTTTTTTCAAACCTTAATAACCGGCAAAAACCCAAGTAAATTATCCATTCTATCACCTCTAATATCCAAAGAATGTATTTCATACCAACTTTGTAAATCATTTAAGGCACGTTTTGAGGCATTTTCGATTATTTGAGCATTTCCAGGGGAGACATTACTATTTTCGTAAATATCCCAAAATAGTAGGAGTCTTAAAGAGATAAGTTCGCCTAAAATAAAAATTTTTTAATGAATATAAAATGAAAAAAACCAAAAGTTAGGCCAAACTCAGCCATTGTTTGAATTAATTCTTCTATTATAGACAAAAAGGGGTCATTAAACATCCTAAAAAATATTTTTTAAATACGATTAGAAGGAAAAGGGAATATTTTAATAAATTCAAAAATGAAGCATGGCTGTTCGCAACCAAAAAAATTTTTTTTTTGCAGAACCCGCAAGTTGCATTGGCGGACAACCCGGATCATAAATCAATTAGTGTTGAATAGAGATCGGAATTTTGAAAAAACCGGGACCGGGAAACGGGTTCTGAAGGTCGACCGGGAGGGACCCGGACCGGGAAAACCGGGAATTCCCGTTCCCGGTTTCATCCCGGTCAAAAATGACCGGGACCCGTACCGGGAAACCGGGAAATTTAAAAAAAATTTTAAATTCATTTAAAAATTTTAAAAAGTTATGGGAGTAGTTATTTATTGAAAATTCTGATTTATAAATAGAAGAATTTAATAAATCAGTAAAATAAATCAATAAAACAAATGTAAATTATAATAAATTAAAACATAAAGCGGATTACGTAGGGCTAATGGGATTTGAGAGGCTAGAGAAGGATTGTGGGATATTAGGAGATTATGGAGTTTAAGATCTCCCGATAGCCTCCTCAAATTTTTTATATCGCCTATATGTATTCCTCATCTAATTCCCTTTAATCCCTCCTAATCCACCTTGATGCTGATTTAATTTTAATTTTTATTTAATCCCTCCAAATCCACTCTGATCATCTCTGTGTAATAGTGATATCAGGATTAAAAGAGATATCAAGAGATTCAAGTATTTGTTGGGTAGCATTAAGAGAGATTGTGGAGACCTCCAACCACCTATATCACCTGATATCTATTCAAATCCCTTCAATTGGAAGCCAATGATATCAGATGATTAAGGCAGATCTAATGGATTTAGAGGGATAAAGATGGCTTACACCAGGTCCCTTGATAAAATCGCACTATACAGTAATTTTCCTCAACATTTCCTCCAACAATACCTCCAAATTTCTCCATTCCAAATTCTTCCGCGAAAATTTTGAGAATTTTGAAAGGCCAAACAGCCAAATTTCTTCCGTTTTCAGCGCCGCAGGCGAAAATTTTGAAAATTTTTGTAAAATCTCCAATATTTTTAAGTCAAAAATCAAAACGCCAAGCAAAAATATTAAAAATTAGCTGCCAGAATTTTTCCCGGTTTCCCGGTCCGAAAAAAGCCGGGATCGGGAAACGGGAAATGAAAATTAACCGGCCGGGACCCGGACCGGGAAAACCGGGAATTCCCGATCCCGGTTTCATCCCGGCATCTTCAAAAAAGCCGGGAAAAAGGACCGGGAAACCGGGAAACGGGACCGGGTCCCGATCCCGTTCCGATCTCTAGTGTTGAATAGTATGGCTATTCGGATCCAGATCCAAAAGAAGTCAGGATATCAGAAATTTTCGGTCCGTATATCGAATCCTGATATCCGAGGATTTCCCTGGATCCGCCAGCCTTACCCCCCTCTATCACTTACATTTCTGAAGCTTTCAGTTTCCTCATTTCTACCCCTCCATTTTCATAATTAACATAATTAGATTGTTGATTTCCACAATATAAACTTTGTCGATGTATATAACTTCCATTAGGTAATAAAATATAATCAGTAAATCCTTGCTCTAATGTATAAATTAAAATATCTAATAAAAGATATTTTGGAGCAAAAGTTCTTAATAAACGAATCTATAAAAGAGAAAATTTATTGAAAAAATAATTTTTTTGAGAAAGGGTGAGGAATAAAAAATATTTTTTGTTTCTCCCTTATAATCCTAGAAGGACCGGAACAAAGGACCGAGGATTTTCTTCAGTCCATTTTGGTTACGGATATCTGAAGATTCTCCAAAACCCAACCCTGAAATCAATTCCCCGCCCCTCCTATAATCCTGTAGAATTAAACTAACAATAGAACCTTGTCAAGTGAATGTGCCAAAGTCTCAAATTCATCTAATTGTTCAATCCATTCAAAAAGTAAAACCATCTGAACTTTATTGACCTAAAATATATTTTTTATCTTTTCCTTTATGTTCCCCCAAAAACCTGACATAAATCATCAACGGTTGCCATTTTTGATTGTTGCCCCGTTTGTTGAGAACAAAGAAGAATTTGTTCTACAGTTGAGCAAAGCATTGAGGAGCGTCTATAGCGTTGGCAAAAATACCATTCAACAAAGCGATCGAGGGGATGGGCAACCTGTGGACTATTAGCCAAAGAGGAACTCATTGAACCGAGAAAACGAGATTTTAGTTGTGGCTAGAAAAATATTTTTTTGCGGATTTTTTGAATTTGCGGACGAAATTTTTGCGGACAAAATTTTTCTTGCGGATTTTGCGGACTTGTAAGAAAATTTTGCGGACAAAAAAAATTTAAAAGAAAATTTTAAAAATACCGAATCAAGAGATTTTGCACTGTCAAAAACATTAGCAGAGAGAAAAGGGCTGATAGATGGCTGTGAAATAGTTGAAGAATCAGCACTAAGGGAGGATTGAGGACCTAAAAATTTGTCGACAAAGATTTTTAAAAAGAATTTAAAGAGGAAGAAAAACCTGAATTATTTTTGACAGATTGTGAAAGGCCTAACAAGTCTTTTACTTCTCTTCTAATCTTAAAAAATTTTTTTAAAAGAAAAAAACAAAAAAATTTACTTGGACAGCAGATCGATCCATTCCAACATCACAACATTTTTGTAGCCTACAATACCGGCAAGCACATCGGGCATCTTTTTAAAAATAAAAAATAAATTTAAAAATATTTTAAACTAACTCTTGTTTATTTCGCAATGCCCTTCACGTCGACAATGAAATTGAAGATTAAAAGCTACTGCCCGTCGGAAAAATGCATTGCCTTTTAAATTATATTTTTTAAGGTTTTTAATTTATTTTTACATCCTCTACAAGAAAGAACACCATAATGATAACCATCAGCTCTATCTCCACAGACTGAACAGAGTCCTATACCTTTAAAAAATTCTTAGATAAATTAATGACCTCTTAATTTAAATTTACCTGGCTCAACAAGTTCGTTTTGATTAAAATACATTTCAGTTAAAATTGCTGTTTAATTCTTCAAATTTTTTTTATTGAATTCTGAAAAATTGTCTATAAAATGGTAGAAATAGATTTTTAAAAAATTCAAATAGTTTTCGAAATTTGGTATTTAAAGTTTTAATCTCGAATTGGAAGAGAAAGAATATGCAAAAAAGTGAGAGACAGTTTAGGGAACGAAAGAAAATAGAAAAATCATGCCCATATTTGACCAATACCATATTTTACCAGCAAAGGTAAAAATTCTCATTTTGTCATCGTGGCCTTATTGGCAAAATGTAAATTTTTATCCTTATTGGTCAAATGTCGTATTGGTCAAATGTGTATAGACAGGAAAAATAACTTTTTGATACTCAATTGTCCCATTTGAGTAAAAATGTAAAATGTCTAATTGGTAAATGTCAAAATGGTAAAAGTCGAAAACTCAAAAAATTTTTTAAACGTTTAGGTAAACATTTCCTCGATTTGCTTCATTTTTAATTAATTAATTAATTAATGAATCAACAACCTTATTTTTCTACATATATTCAAGATTTGGAACAGGCTAGATAAATTTTGTTATTTTTCAAATTTTATCAATTTAAGGATCCCTTTGATGTTGTCGACTTTGTGGAAAGATTAGCTTGGAGAATGACAACAGGAATGGAGACAGTCGACGCTGCCTTTCTTAAAAATAAATTTGAGGAGGAAATTGGAAGTCTTCAATTGCTTAGTGATCAATTCCAGGTTTATTTTAAAATATTTTTTTTAAATAATTTTGAATAAATAATTTTAGAACAAATTAACAACCTTAGAGCAACAACAACAACGAGACAAAACAAATTTTTTGGATTCACTTCAACGACTTTATGATAAAAATTCTGAGGGATTGGAAAGATTAAAGGTTTATTTTCTCTACTTTATAGACTTTTCCTGTCGATTTTCAGCAATTAGATTTAATAATGCAGACAGTCTCTGCTAAAGTTGTCCATCTAGGTGATCAATTGGAAAGTGTAAGTCTTCAAGAAATATTACAAAAAAATTTTTTTTGAAAAGGTCCACGAACCTAGAGCACGAGCTTTTGATGCGCTCCAAATGATGAGACATTTTGATGAATTTTTGGCTGAACAACCTTTGCATTCTGCTGTTTTTACTGATTCTGATAGGGTTTGTGGGACAAATGTCACCTTAATTTTTTTAAATTTAGTTACTCGAATCAGCTGAAATAATTACAAAATTATCGTCTATAGCTCAAGAACTGGACAAAAATAAATTTCAAACAGTTCAAATGAGAATTTCACATAAATACGACGAAATAGAACAATTACTAATTGAAGAATTTATTCGTTCTCATGACAGGAAAAGAATGCGAGAAATTGCTGTTATTCTTTCTGAATTTAAAGGTTTAATTTTATTTTGAGGTTGATTGTGGGGTGGTGTAATGGTTAAGGTTCTTGTCTGGTTGGGTGATGGGTCGTGAGTTCGAGCCCGCTGGTTGATTTCTTATTTTATAAAGTCTTTTTTGCTTGTTTTTACTCCTTTATTTTTCCTTATCAATTTTAATAAATTTAAGGATTTTCTCGTTGTGTTGACGGCTTTGTCGAACGCATTCAAAGTACTGCTCCACGTTCAGAAAACGTTTTTACCGACATTTTTAAACTTTGTGAGAAAGCAAAACCAATAATTGAAGAAGTCTTTCCTCGAACACAATTTGTTATTTCAAAGCTTTTGCTTAACGTATTTCATGGGAAATTACAGGTTTATTTAAAAAATATTTTTATAATTTTTTAAATTCAGGATATGGTTGTAGCAACACTTGAAGAGACGAAAGGCAATCCGGAACTTTATTTGACTAATCTTTATGAGCTTTATTCAAAGTTTTTTTTTTGAATTATTTTTCTAAAAATATTTTTTTCCAATTTTAAAGAACATTTAAATTACAAGGAGCTTTACGTTCTCTTTTCCCAACAAATTCTGTTGATCCCCAATTTTTGCCAACTTTGAGTCAATCAATTTTTGGACCTTTCTTGGTCACTTATTCAAAAATTGAACATAAATTTATTGCGGACAAGTGTACTTTTATTTTGAGAAAATTTTATGAATCTAAAGGACATCAAAAAAGAAGTATTCTTTCTAGCGGGTTTGTGTTTTTTTTTTAATTTTTTGAAAGATATTTTTGAATGCATGGATAGGGATGTTTATGAGTTGAGAAAAAAGTCGGGTCTCGGGTTTTTGACCTTTTCTACCGGATTTTGGGCTAAAAAACGTTCGGTTTTTGGGTTTGATTAGTAGGATATTAAGAGGGTAAGAGTCATGTTTTGGGTCAGATTTTTGAAAATTTCGCGAGTGGGGTATCGGGTTTCGGATAACCCCGTGATACCCCTAATGTATTACAGAAAATCTTCGAGCTTGTTCCAAAAAAAATATTTTTTTTTATTTTACTTTTAGACTTCAAGACCTTAAAACTCGTCTTTTAAATGCAGAAGATTTTGGTGGCGAAACTTTTCTCTCAGAAATTATTGCAATTAACATACTCCAAGAATTTAAGAATGCGTTTATTCGTTGCACCACAGTTTTGAGTTTTTTTTTTTTTAAATTTTTTCTTTTCAAAGCTTTGTAAAAAGAGCGAATCTTTGGAATTAATAACAGCCTTTTATGATATGTTACTCAAATTTTTATATTCTGAACATGTAGAATATGCAATTGATTTGGGTTTGGCTTGTATTCCCTTGTCAGAACCTAAAACAGAACCTTCTGGAAATTTTTTTAAAATAATTCAACAAAGTTCAGCAATTACACATTTATTTGCAAAATTGTTTGATGATAGTATACACCCAGAAATTAGGTTTATTTTATTTTTTGTCAAAATAGATTTTAAGCTCCGGGGATAGATTTTAGATCACTATAGTTGAGAGAAAACAAGGATGTCACGGCTTGAGAAGTCAGATTTTAAGTTTTATTTTCAAAATTTTCTTCGGATCGGGGTTTGGGTTAAAAAGTCTGAGTTTTGGGTCGGATCAATTAAGGAGATTTAGAAGTTGAGAAGTATTTTTATTATACTTATTATTTTTAAATTCGAAAAAAGTTTTTTTTTGTTTTAAAGGGATACACAAATAGAAGATTCGGTTTTAAAGAAGCGTGACCAAACCCTTCGTAACGTTGAAGAAAGAATAAATATTGGTGTTAGACGGCAATTAAATGCTATAGTTGCCTATGTTCGTTTTGTTTTTAACACAACACAAAAGAAATCTGATTTTAAACCTGAAGAGGATTCTAATGAAATTAGCACTATATGTTCTAATGTATTTTTTTAATATTTTTTTTGTTTTAAAAAAATTTTTTTAGGCTTGTTCCCTAGTAATTAAATATCTTAACAAAGTTGTCCAAAATTCTGAAAAATGTGGAATTAAGGATTGTGTTGATGGAGGAAATTTACAGGTTGTACTTTCTGAATTAGGCGAACATTTATACAATACAATGTTAACGCATATACTCTCGTTTGGATATAATTTGCCTGGGGCAATGCTTTTGCTTTGTGATATTAATGGATATAAGTATATTTTTATTTTTATCTTTGGGATTGAGGGATATGAAGGAACCCCAACGTACTTAACAGTCTCTAATCTACATTAAGGTTGTCTCGAAGGCCTGATTTTAAATCTTGAACATCCTCTATTAGGTTCGAAGTTCAAAATTATCCCTAAGATCCTGAAGGCCATGTGTTCACTTTCGGCTCGTCAAGGTAGTCTGAAACCCATACTCGTTCGTCCACGATTATAACTTGCTGAAAATGAAATTGTAATTGTCGGGTAGACCCTCTCTTTGAAAATAAATATTCTAATTTATTTTTGAAGTGTCGCGAAAAATCAAGAAAATTTTTTTTCATTTACACGGAGAGGTTGCGAGGTGTCCGAGCTAAAAACGGTCGAGACCGGGCTCATTCGATAGAGAATATGCCCTTTCTAGCAAGGATTTTTTGCCGTTTTTGCCCGTTTTTTGATCTGGCCAAGATATGGCCCTCCAAAGTCCCAAAATTTGCCATAATTTTCCCCCTTCAAATATAAACTTTTAATAATGTTTAATTTTGTTGGCGCGGTGGTGTAGTGGTGAGTGTGCTTGACCTACCCTTTTTCTCTAAAAAGTTCGATTCTTTTTTGGGTTTTATTATTTTATCTAACTGTTTTAAACTTTATTTATTCCTTTTCAACAAAAAAAATTTTTTTTTGTTTGAAAAAAATTTTTTTTAATTTTTTTAAAATTTTTAAAAATTAAAAAAATAAAAAAAAACTAGAATTAGCTACAGCTGGCACATCGAATAAAATAGATTCCAAACAATAAGGTGTATTACATCCAAAAGGGGACAATAATGGAAAACAACGGATCGGTTGATCGAATTCTCCCGGGGAATCTTCTCCTCTCCACCCAATAACTCGTCAGAATAAAGTTTTTAAAAAAAATTTTTTCAAACAAAAAAAAATTTTTTTTGTTGAAAAGGAATAAATAAAGTTTAAAACAGTTAGATAAAATAATAAAACCCAAAAAAGAATCGAACTTTTTAGAGAAAAAGGGTAGGTCAAGCACACTCACCACTACACCACCGCGCCAACGGAATTAATGCATTATTAAAAGTTTATATTTGAAGGGGGAAAATTATGGCAAATTTTGGGACTTTGGAGGGCCATATCTTGGCCAGATCAAAAAACGGGCAAAAACGGCAAAAAATCCTTGCTAGAAAGGGCATATTCTCTATCGAATGAGCCCGGTCTCGACCGTTTTTAGCTCGGACACCTCGCAACCTCTCCGTGTTAGTATAATTTTTCTCCTTAATTTTTAATTTTTTAGACGTTGTATTAGTTCTTGGGGTGTTCCTGAACTCGAAAAGAAGTTTAACAGTTTACATGCTTTAGCTAACCTTTTGGTTGTTGTTCCAGAAAATTTACCAGAAGCTTGTAATTCTCAATTATTGGTTTGAAAAATAAATTTTAATTAAAAAAAAATTTTTTTTAAGAAAAATGTAGATCGTCACTTAATGAATAGTTTTATACAATTACGTCATGATTACAAATCCGCAAAACTTTTTTTGAATAATTATTAGGTGTTTACTTTTTTGGATATCCCGTCCCCTCCCCTCGCCCTTGTTTGAGTATTATGCTAATATTCTTTTTGAGAAATACATGGATATCCGGATCCGAATTTCCGTGTATCCTGTCTTTTTCGGTGCTTTCTTTTCTTCCTCATGCCTATCATTTATTTTCCTTTATGTACGAGCAAGGTTTCCGGATCCGAAAATAAAAATATTCGGAAATTTTTGCTATCGGATCCGGATATCTGTATTACCCAGAATCAGCCTACCTTTGAAAAGTGTTATGAAGAAAAGAAATAATTGGATAACCAAACTGAATGGGAGGGGAACTGGATATCCAAAAGAAATGCCCAATTATTAATATTTCTGTGTGATTTTTAAATTATTTTTTTAATTAAATAAATTATTTTTAATCTCAAATTATTTTTAAAAAATAAATGGAAGTTCTTTTCTCCGTCAAAAAATTTTTTTTTAATTTTTTAAAATTTTTTTTTGTGTTTTTTTGTTTTCCTTAATTTTCTTAAAGGTCCCTCTAATGACATTTTACCAGAATAGCAAACCAACTGACTCAACAAAACATTTTACTATTCACATGAACGGCTCAACTCCCCTCAGGAATGGAGTAAAACAGCAACAACCTAGACATTCAATAATTTCAAATTTGTCTAGTAGAGATGAGCTGTTTGCTGATGATTTGCTTTATACTAGAGAAGAGAGGTTTTCTTTTTTGAATTTTATTTCTTAAATTAAAATTTTTTTTCATAAAGTTTTTGTACTTACACACCGCTGAAAATTCTTGTGACGACATTCAATGGTTTGTGATTTTTCAATTTCTTAAATTTTAATGTGGTCCTGCTCATTAGGGTTTTTTGTATATTTTTAAGGCTTATTTTTTAAGGCTCTAAAAAACTTCCCTTAATATTTTTTCCGGTAATCATGTAGAATCTGGGATACACCTTAAAAATACCTTAAGACTTAATATTTTTTGGGGGTCGTTCCGAATGATCGAGTCGGGCCTCGAATTTTGGCCCGTAAAAGACTCGGTCGGACCGGCCCGATAAAAATGAGGCCCGAAAAAATGACTCAAACGCCGGCCCGACTCGAAAACCCCAACCCTATTAATTGTTGTGGATTTCTTGGGAATATTTCCTTTCCAAAAAAGAGGACCCATTTTCCTCCCTTTCTTAAGTATTTCCTTTTCCACGCCTTTCTTTACACATTCCAATTTCCATACCTTTCTTTCGTTTAAAAATTTATTATTTTTTAATTTTTTTAACAGTGAATGGTCGACGACCTCCAACTAACTTGAGTGACTGGCTTTCTTTTGACTTGAATTCACCACCTGAACTGATTGTTATTGGGTTTCTTAAAATATTTTTTTTTTTTAAAATTTCTTAGTCTACAAGAAATGGACCTCGCTTTGGGTAGTTATGTTGTTGACAATAATGTGAAGGAGAATGAATGGTTATTTACTCTACAACGAAATTTGCCTCATACTTATCGAATGGTTTTCTTTTTAATTTTTCTTATTAAAATTCTTAAAAGGTCGAGTCCAGCCGCCTAATCGGAATTTTTATGGCAATTTTTTGTAAAAGAGGTTTGAAGATTTCCGTCTCTGATTCATTTATTTCTTCCATCCCAACTGGTTTTCTCAATTTGGGTAATAAAGGAGGTGTTGGAATTAGTATTAGATTGAATGATACTTCCATTTGTCTTATTAATTCGCATCTACCTGCGGGTAATGAACTGAACAAGCGCAACCAGGTATGTTTTTTATTTAACGATGTAAGGTTATTTATTGGGTGTGTTGTTAATAAATTAAATGAGAAAAAGTTTTGTGGAATCGGTGGTGTATTGGTTAGGATTCTGTGTCTGCCCCCATTGGGTTATAGGTTTGACGCCTCGTGTGTGGCAATATTTTTATTTTTGATTATTTTTTAAGTAAATTAACAAAAAATTTTTTAAATATTTTTTTAGGACTTTCGACTAATTTCACAAATGCGTTTCAATAACGGGTTTGGTATTTTTGACCACGATGCAGTTATTTGGTTTGTTTCAATTTTTTAAATTTATTTTTTAGTTTATATTAGGTTGGGTGATTTGAATTATCGTCTTGACACGCCTCTAAGTTATGAAGAAGTTATTAGACGATTACAGGATCATAAATTTGCTCAACTTTTTTATTTTGATCAGGTTTATTTTTTAATTCTCTTATTTTTTTATTCTCGCATTTTAGCTCAAAGAACAGCAACGGCTTAGGGTGGCTTTCAATGGATTTTTTGAACAACAACCATCTTTCAGACCAACATACAAGTTTGATCCTGGCACACATAATTGGGACACAAGGTTTTCTTTTGTAGTAAAAAGGGGTTTTTTCTGAGACTGGTCTCACAATCAGTATTAGGGGAATACTATAGTTAGGGAACACCTCACCGGCAATGAGCCATTTTCAATCCACGTTTGATTCTTGCCATATATGTGAGGATCATTATCTATTGGAATTGATCGGATCAGTCATTTTATAAAAAGTTGTAGCCTAATAAGAATCGAAAATCACGATTTCGCGTTCTTATCTTGTCGTAACTTTTGTCTTGCCGTGCTTTCAACTTTCCTTTTTTTAAGTGAGAAGAAGCGAATACCTGCTTGGTGTGATCGAATACTTTATTGGATAAGAGATAAAAATGTTCGTTTGGAGCAATTAACATATTCATCTGCAGAGAAGGGTTTTTTTTAAAGTCTTGAATTAGAATTTAAATTTTGTTTTTTATAGTTGTATTCAGCGATCACAAGCCAGTTCTAAGCCTTTTCAATTTACACGTAAAGAAGATTGATCAAGACAAGAGAAATGCTGTATACGAACAGGTTTTTAAATTTATTTTTAATAAGTAATAAGGCTGGGTGATGGGCAAAACTCTATTTTATCAAAACTCTGTCCAGCCAAATTAGTCAAAGACTACGGGAATATTCCAACAATAACATTGCTGGAGTACCCTTCCCTGTAATTGGAACAGACTTATTTCTTTGAAAGGTATTTTGATCGGAGAAGTTTTGTCTGGACAGAATTTTACCCTGATATGACCCTGGTTTTTTCCTATTATCAGAGTCAGAAGAATTTTCTGAGCTCGCTGCCTAGGATTTTTTCTTGAGTCAAGTATTTTTTTAAAATCACCCGGACCCATAAAATCTGTTTTGACTTAAAAATTTTTTTTTCAAAGTTGCTTCGTGAAGTTGACAAGAAACAAAATGAATTGTTGCCACAAATTTCGTTATCACAAACTGAGGTTTTTTTTAATTTTCAAAAAGTTTTTTTTAATTTTTTAAAGTTTAATTTTGGTACAATTTATTTTGATCGCCCTGTAGTTGCTGAATTAACAATTAAAAATACTGGACAAGCACCAACACATTTTATTTTTAAATCTGCAAAAATGGAAAATGAAGAACACGAGAAATGGCTTACAATAACTCCGCAATCTTCGTTTTTGGATGTTGGGTTAGTTTGGAAAAAAAAATTTTTTTATGAAAATTAAAAATAATTTTGGGATCAAATGTCGTTTTTTCTAAATTAAAAAATCTTTCTAGAAAAAAATTTTCTAGGAGACATTTGGTCCCAAAATTTATTTTGGGATCTAATGTCATCTTTTTTAACTAAAAAATTTTTTTAATTTTTAGTGTAACAGTAGAAGTAACCCTTCAAATATTAGTGTATGATGAAAATGCTTGTAATATTCAAACAAATAATACCCAATTAAATTCAATTTTAATTGTTCATTTAAATGGTGGAAGGGATTATTTTATTGTAATTGATGCAAGGTATTCAAGGGAAGTTGAAGAAGAAGATCTTATTTCTTTTTGATTAAACAACGAAAAAATTTTTAAAATTTAAAGGGGCGGTCCTTAAAAAATAAAAAAAAATTATTTGAAAATTGGGGGAAAAATTAAATTTTGGGATCAAATGTCTTTCTAAAAATTTTTTTAAAAAATCGGAAAAATATTTTTTCGCGTCAGAGGACCGTGCCTTTTTATTAAAAATATTTTTTTGATACTGCTATACTCCATTCCTCTCTTCTCTTCATCTTCTATTATTTGTAGATATTCGGTATTATTTTCCCCTTTACTCATTATGACTGTAATATTCCCCCTTTTAATATTTCTAGCATAATCTATTTGAAGCCCAACTCCTTTTTGACAAAAAAAACATTGAAAATTAGGAGTTGGGCATTATTTCGTCTAAATAGTTTTATTGTATTTGTTCTACTCAAGGCCTCTCATCCCATAAAAAATTTATTTTTTCAAGACCTCGATAAACTACCAAAAATGTGTTTAGTTTAAATGTATTTCATAAAAATAAGGATTTCTTGAGAAAATAGAATTAAATTTCATAACCTATTCAAAAAATCGATACTAATCGATAAAATCAATACCAATCGATATATCGATTTTTTGAAAATTATTTTCAAGAAACGGGAGATAGAAATTAATTGACACCCGACTTTGTAACCGATATGAAGACTATGTGGAACATCTCAAAATCTAAATCCCATTATGATAGGACATTTTACCAAATATTTATCATTTTAACTTTTTATCAATCGGTATAACAACACAACAGTAAAATATTATAAATTCCAACTTCTTTTTAACGTTTTCGATGGAATTCAATCGTGTTTCTACGCTTCCAGCATTTGCGACGAGATCCGCCGATTGTCTTATTATAATTCTTGCCCTTTCCAAGACCACGACTCTTACGCCCAGCAGATGTAAGTCCACGTTGTTCACGATGTTTGTGCACCGGTTTTGTAATCCATTGGGTGTCAGGATTGCGGCGAATGACCTTTAATTAAATGAAAAATATAAGAGAAGGAAAAAACAAAAGAAAAATTTAAAAACGTTAGGGGGAGTGTAAAAGTTAGTCCCATTCACCTTAAGAATTGCTTTGATTAAAATAAAAAATAATTGGACCCGTAGGATTCGAACCTCTAGCCATTAAAGCATGAAACCTAAACCTATCCGACTACACCAAAGTGAAGAACAACAAAGCTGTTATTTTTCAAGTTATATACACATAAAATTACCAAAAGAAATCTAAAACAAACCTTGTGTGACGGATCTATCAGAATGACTTCATAAAATTTGTATGTTGAATCCTGGCCAACCCAATAAGAGTTTAATACGCGGAGAGAACCACAACGACGTCCAACACGCGCCTAAAAAATATAAACATTAAAAAGAAACTTTTGTAAAGGAAAACCTCAGCAATTGCTTGGTGGCTTCTAGCATTCTTCAATTTATTGACTCCGTGGGTTTTCGGCTTTCCGTATGTTTGTCCTTTAGTGACTTGACGCTTACGACCTCCTCTACGGACACGAACACGGTAAATGACATATCCTACAAAAATAGAAAGATACGTGTTGAATGGATAAGGAGAGAGAGGTGGGATATCTGACCAGGTCTTTAACTATGGGAGAAAGGGGTATGAACCTGTACTTGACTAACACCCACAGACTCCGATGAAACTTTGTCGCAAAGCTAGAACTAAGTCAAAATTGGAGTGAAATTGTGGAAAAGAGAAAGTCTGCCCATTATGCACATATTAAGAAAAAAGAATTATTGGGGAACCAAATAAGTCAACTAGTCGATATGTTCTAGCCATACTGAACGTTAGGGATTTCAGACTTAACCCTGAGAACATGCCTCGCAGAGAAAATGACCGCAAACGAATCCAGGCATAGATCATAGGACAGGAAAAGCTTTTCACAAACCCGGATTAAAAGGGAGGGAGAGCCCGAACTATACATCGATTATTAAACCTTGTTTAGCTTTGTATCCAAGTCGACGAGCCTTCTCCGGACGTGTTGGACGAGGAACACGGTGGATTGCAGTCAATTGCCGGTATTGCCAACAACGAATACGTAGAAGGTAGCGCATAACATCAGACTGCTTCTTACGCCAAATTTCTTGCATATACTTGTACGCTCCCACTTTTTAATAAACAAAACTTTAAAATAAAGCTTAAATTAACTAAAAAACAATGAAAAAAAGTTAAACGAGAAAAGTAAATTGATTAAAAGTTAGACGACAGAGATACAACACTATCTCGTTTTTACCACTTTATTTTTACCATAATGACATTTACAAAATAAAAGAATAAACAGAATGCCAATTTTTGGAAAAGATTTAAAGTTAAAAGGAATCGGTACACCGAACAAAAACGACAATTCGGCACATTAACAGAATGCCCAACAGAGTAAAAATATTCATTTCGTCACAACGAGAAACCTGTTAAGGACACTAGAGTCTGAAACGAAAAAGATATATTTAAAGCTTTAACTTTTCTTATCAAATTTTTATCATTTATCAATTTGTAATTTACATATTTATCAATTTTAATTAAAAATAACATGAAAAACATTAATTGGGAATGAATGCAAAAACAAGAAAGATCAACAATAAATTTAAAAAAAACATAGCAAGTCCTTAACAAGAAAAATCTAAGAGACACACAACAATGTGAATTTTAAGCTATTTCTCTTGATTTCTGTTTTGACTTGCTCAAAATAAATTAAATAAAAGCAGCCTAAAAGATTAAATAAAAAATTTTTCAGACTCTAATGTACCTCACTTGGGAAAATTATCTACAAGGGGCACGTCTTCATTTTGGGTCATAACTTTCTTAATAGTGGACCTATTCGAATACTTTTTATATCAATCGAAAGCTCTAAAAATGCAGATTATTTAATCTAAAAGGATCTTTCCAATCAGATAATTAAACAAAAAGTTAGAGCAGGTTAAAGACAGAAAATCACGACTACGCGCATTTAACCGTCGACAACTTTTTAAAAAAATTTCTGATCAGGTCAATCCTGTCAGATAAAATGCTCCTTACATCCAGAGCTTTCGATTGATACAAAAATTATTCAAATCGGCCAAGAATAAAAAAAGTTATGCTCAAAAATAGAGCCCCGTGTTAATAAATCCACTAGAGTCCATTAGAGTCTCATTTTTTGCTTATCTTCTAGGCTTTAAAAAAATTTTTTAAGTAAAAAATAAAATTTTTTGTATAAATTTTGCGACATTACTCCTTTGCTTGGAGTATTTTACTTCTCTTCTTTAAAATTTGTACACTTTGCACGAATTGGCCATCGTTGAAATAAAATAAAAGCATTGAATGAATAAATTAAATTACAAAGAGATTTTGATAAATTAAAATAAAAGGGATATTTGAGTCTAGGCTATAAGTAAATAAAAATCAGAACTTTTTCCAAATCAGAATTTATTCTGGAAAAATATCAGAACAAAAATCAGAATTTGTTCTAAAAAATATCAGAATTTTTCTGAAAAAATCAGAACTTATTCTGAAAAAAAAAAACAGAATAAAAATCAGAAAATGTACAGAAATCAGAATTTAATCGGAAAAATCAGAATTCTGAAAAAATATCAGAACAAAAATCAGAACTTTTCAAAATCAGAACTTATTTCAGAAAAAAATCGGAATTAAAATCGGAACATATTCCGAAAAAAATCAGAACAGAAATCAGAATTATTCAACAGCCGAGACTCAAACAGATTCGATTAAAATTACAATGAAATTTTTTTGGTATAATTAACAAACAAAAAAATTTTTATGTGAATAGAACGGCGAGTTTTTTTAAAAAGAAAGACACAAAAAAATCAAAATTTAGAGAAAAATTACCAGAAAATTATTGCAAATTTGAAGGGATTGGCTCATTTGGAATTTGTTCCTCAATTAATTTTTTATTTTTATTTAATAAAGGTTGGGATGAAAATGAAGTATAAATATTTGTAGAAGAATTTTGTTGTTGTTCTAAATTACATTTATAATTACCCAATAAAAGGGGTAATGTTGTTGTTGTTGTTAAACTTGTGTGGAAATAGCATTGACAAAGGGGAGAAGAACTAAGAAAAAAAATAAATTCTGATTTAAAAATTAATTCTGATTTTTATTTTAAAAGGAAATTTGAAATCAGAATTCTGAAAATAAATTCTGATTTAAAGAAAATTTGGTATTCCTCGGTTTATCCCCCCACATGTCCGCAAATGTTTGTCCGCAGATTTTTTTCTGATGCGAACAAACATTTGCGGACATGTGGGGGAGATAGCCGAAGAGTACCGAAAATCCTGAGGAAAAATTCTGAAAAATTTTTTTCAGAAGTTTGAATAATTCTGATTGTTAAAAAATTTTTTTGTCCGCAAAAAATTTGCGGACAAAAAATTTCTTTCCGCAAATTTCTCTTAATTTTTTAATTCCCCTCTTTTTACCTCTGTGTTATATCAGAATGAGGCACCCAATGCTTTATACACCAGTAAATTAAATAAGCAACAAATAAATAGGCAAGTGTCATTGCACACAAAATTAATAAAAATTTGAGCAAATCTATAGGAAATATTGAACGCAAAATTAAATCAGAACAGAGCGGTAACTTGAAAAATAATTGTGTAAAATTAATTTATAAAATAAAAAAAGAAACCTTTTCTCGTGGTAAAATGCTGCATTGAGCCTGAAAAAAAATTTTTTTTAATTTTCAAAAAAAAAATTTTTGTCCGCAAAAATTTTGCGGACAAATTTTTTTGTCCGCAAAAAAATTTTTTTTATCAGAAAAATTTTTGCGGACGTATTTTGCAAAATTTTTGCAGCAAATTTTTTGAATATTTTAATTAAATTTAAAATCAAACAAACAAACTTTATTCATCAATTTCTCAGCAGAACCAATTCTGTGTGCTTCTACCAAAGCTTGTCCAAAATGCATTTTTACTCTTTGAATAATACAAGCACGGGTAGAGAATAAAAAGGGTAAACAAGCAAAAGAGAAAGCATCGAGAACACCTACCTAAATTTAAAAAAATTACAATGTCCGCAAAAAATTTCTTTGTCCGCAAAATTTTTGCGGACAAAAATTTTTCTCCGCAGAAAATTTGCGGACATAAATTTTTATCCGCAAATTTCTTTTAATTTTTTTAAAAAATTTCTCCCTTACCAAATAAATATGCCACTGTCTAATTGAACAATTTGAAGGAAGAATAAACAGAAAAAAGGAGCAAGTTGAAAGAGAAGCACACAAAACAGCTACAGTCATCCAAATATTCTTTTTATACTTTAAAAAATAGGAAATTTTAATTGAAAAAAAATTTAAGAATTAAAAGGCATCGAGAACGTTGACAGCAGTTAGTTTAAAAAAAATTTTTTAAATGTCCGCAAAATTTTTGCTGACAAAAATTTTTGTCCGCAAATTTTTTTCAAAATTTTTTTAAATTTTAAAATTTTTTTATAAAAAATTTAACAAAATAAACCTCATTTAAATCGTGCAAAGAATCAAAAATTAAAATTTTTGTTTGTTTAGATTGAAAAGATTGTAAAAATTCAAATTTTGCTGAATACTCTTCCAAGTGAGAAAATAACTCGAGAAATGGATGCAGATACAAAATTTGTGCTATAGCCACAAAAAATAATACCAACAATTTGAGACATTGGGCGAAGAATAACTAAAATTAAAAAAAAAAAAAAAAATTTTTCAAAATTTTTCAAAACCCAAATGTGCGCCAAAAAATTTTTATAACGCGTTAAAACGCCAAAATTTATTTTTGCGTTTTATCTACGCTATGAAAATTTTTTGGCGCACACCTAAAAATTAAAAATCTCAACTGTGTGCCAAAAAATGTTTTCAACGCAACAAACGCCAAAAATTAGACTTATAAATCAAAAATTTCTCAACCTGTTTTTGCATAAAACAAAGCAACGATTTCTCATTAAAATTCAATTTTGCAGTAATTAGCCTCCACAAATTTGGTTTTTTATCATTTGAGGATGACACCAATAATTCTGGATCAAATTCTGTTGAGAGAGTTGGTTGGTGTATTTGGTTGTGGAATTGACGAAATTTTGATTGAAGAGAGGAAGAAATTCGAAGAGGAAGAATTCGGGACATTTTTTGGTTGGGATAAAATGTCCAAATCAAAGAAAATGTCAAAATGTCGAATTTCGAATTTCGAAAAGACAAAAAAATTTCAAAAAAATTTTTTCGAATGGTTGGTGCCTGGTCCTTTGTTAATGGAATGTAAAAAAACAGCAAAAAATTTGTAAGCTTTTTAGTTGTAGAAAAAAATTAAATTTTCCTAATTTTATGCCGAACTATTTATGTATTTATTGTTGTTTTTGTTACTTTTCTCTACCACTAATTTTAAAAGTAGGCGAATAAAATTTTAAAAAATTGTAAAGCTAAAAATTAATTTAGTCATTTAAAGTATGGAAATTTGTCAAAAAAAATTTTTAATCGAAAATTTTTAATTAAAAATTCAGAAAAAATTAAAAGGTCCACTAGTCTCAAAATAAACAGGAAAAAATCCCTTCAAAATTTTTCTAAAATTTTTTAAAAATTTTTGCAAGCAAAAAAACTTGCAAAAAATTGAAATTAAAAAATAAAAATGTTGCTAAAATAATCTTTTATATATAGACAATAAAAAAAGGAGTAGCCACTTGTCTCGGCTAATCCTTAATATAACGGCCATAGACTAACAATAACCACAAGTAATATTTTTTTTTGCTTTTGCTTTCTATAAGGGGGAGGTGGTGTGCAAAGATCAGAAAATAACAACAATCAACAAAATAACCTGGGAAAAATATTTAAAGAGGAGGAAAAACAAGAGGAAAAATATAGGAGGAAAATGGGACGGACCCCATATTTTACCAAAACGACATTTTGCCAATAAGGCTAAAACTACACATTTTGTCAACAAACTTATTGACAAAATGTAAGTTTTTAGCCTTATTGGCAAAATGTGGTATTGGTCAAATATGAGTGGCCGAAAAAAGAAGAAAAATGGAACATTCAAAAATATAAATGTAAAAATATATAAAGTCGAGAATGACGAGAAAAGGAAGGAAGAAGTAAAGAGGAGAGAGAGAGTATATAGGCGGGGGCAACCTCAACAAACTAACTAAAAAATTATTTTCTTCCTCTTGTGTCGCGCCTGGCAGTGACTGTCATTCTCTTAAAAGCGGGAAAAGATGGCGCTCTCGCATTTCAAGATTTTCAGCTGCCAATCTTTTTACAATCTTGCAGAAATATATATTTTTTTAAATAGCCTTCTCAAATTTGCAAACAAAAAAAAGAAAGTTTAAGAGGAAGAAAAATTCAAAAAAAAATTTCTAAAATTTTTAAGTGCAAAAATCTTGAAAAAATTACATTTAAAATTAAAGGATACATTAGAGTCTAGCTGTAATTTTTAGGAAAAAAAAATTTAGACAACTCCTACATTAATGATCCTGTCGTCCCAATTCCCAAAATTGCCAAAAATCGGAAATTACCGAAGTTTTTTCGGGTCGGGATCTCGAGTTCCCGAAATCGGGAATTTAAAAACTCGGGAATTCCCGAAAATCGGGAATTTTACATCGGCAGGATCCCCGCTAAACACATTTTAATTTTTATCGATTCAATTTTGTATTTTTATTTTAACACAATTTTTAGAAAATACAAAAAAAATATTCTTTGTGGTGACCTTGCATATTTTTAGGTTTGTTTGTATTCAACGCGTCGCAATCGGTGTGCACTGAATTTTTCCTATGCTTTTTATATTTTTAAAATTTAGCTTTTTTGGCGGTTAATTTTTGCAGTCAGTCAAAGGGGAAATTGAAAATAAAAAAAAAATTTTATTCAAGGAAATTAAGAAAAAAAATTCGATTTGGACACTAGAGTCTGAAAATCTAAATTTTTAAATTTTAACTAAAACTCGAATATTTATTTATTTTTAAGTACTGAATGCTTAAAAATAAAAAAAGGAAATAAAATGAAAGAATATTTAAATAGGTATATAAAGCAAAAAAAGCCTTAAAACAGAGCTATAAATATTTTTATGGTCACCAACAATGACTTGCCTTTTTTGCCCTTTTAAATATTTATATTTTAATGTTCCTTTGTACAGACAGACACAACAAAAATTTTATTTTTATTTTTACAATATTTAAGCAGCATTTTGCCCTATTTTCAACCGCATCGAGGAAAAAAAGGGGAGAGGAGGAAAGGCTCCTATACAAAGGATCGTTTTTTAAAGGGTCGCCCTGTTAAAGGATCGTCACGGGCAAAAAGTATTAAAGGGCCGTTCATTAAAGGATCGTCCATCAAAGGATCGTCAAGCGTAAAAACGTTCAAAGGGTCGTCATTTTTTTAAAAATTTCATAAAGCCAGTTCAGTGCCATCAGTTTGGTTGCAGTGATGTGCCAGTCTGATAATGGTGATTAAGAGGGATATCGGGGGATTTGAAAGGATTAAAGTGATTATTAATTTTTGCATCACAGGCAAAATTTCGAGATGGATATCCGCGGATTTGGAGTATCATATCCGTGCTCATCCGTATCCATCAAATAACATTATCCATATCCGTCCGTATCCGGATATATCCGTTGATATCCGGATATTATCCATATCCATGAGCTGGTCTGCATTCAGCTGATAAAAAATTAGTTGAAAAATATGAAGAAAATGGACCCTAAGCAAAAAAAAAACGAAAAAAATCTCTAAAAAATATGGGACTCAAACGTCTTCTTTTGTGTGGGGACTCAAAAACGATCCTTTGAATTTTTTACCCGTGGCGATCCTTTGATGGACGATCCTTTGATGAGCGACCGTTTAATACTTTTTGCCCGTGACGATCCTTTAAACGTTTTTAGACGTTACGATCCTTTGAACGTTTTTAGCCGTGGCGATCCTTTTATGTGACGATCCTTTGTAGGGACACGGGAGGAAATGGGTGGCACGATGAGGAGGAATTGGATAGAGGAAATAAATGAGAGAAGAGGAGAGAGATTGGCGGTCATGAATAAATAAATAAAAATTTTGAGAGAGAAAAGAAGGGTTAGATTAAGGAAAGAAAAATGAAATGAAAGGACAGATGGGGGGTTTTTGTGGGTAATAATAATTTTAGTTTTGAAGGGGAAAAAAGAGAAGGGGTGAAGGTCAGTGCGTCATAAAAATTGTAAAAAAAATTTTTTTTAATATCCTTTTTTCAAAAAAAATCCAAAAATAATTTTTAAAATTAAAAAAAAATTCAATCAGAAAAAGAAATTCAATCCTTAAAAATATTTCTAATAGATCAGAAACTGGTTAATCTCTAGTATGTATATTTAGAGTAGTGACCGGCAGATAACCTCTTTTTTGCAGGGTTGCAGCAGGGATGGATCAGGTTGAGAAAAAAAATCAGGTAAAGTTTAAGTAAAGTTTAAGGAAGTGAGGAGGAAGTGGATAGGAAGAGGACAATATTTTTTTCGGATCGGGTTCTCGGTAAACCGACCCATCCCTGGTTTGCAGGAAAATCCGTGGTTTGCAGAATCCAAGCAAACTTCTTTTCTAAAAAAATTTTTTCCAAAACGGAATCTAGTTGGAATAATCTCACCACAGTCTCTCACAATTAAATAAATTAATTCTTCAAAGCTTAAAAGCTTTTTTAACTTTAAAAATTTTTCTCCTCCCCTAAGATAAGAAGGCACATTTTAAGACTAAAACAGAAAAAAATTTTCTTCAAAATGTGGCGGCTGTTTTTTTTTGTTTGTGTATAAAAATAAAATGTGGCGAAGGAACGGAACGCGCAAATAAATAAAAATAGGCAGATGGCAAGAATAAAAAAAGGATTGTGTGTTTGGTTGGTTGTTTGTTGTTGTCCCGTTTGGAGAGAAAAATTGAAAGAAATGGGTGGACACGAAGGGTTGAAAATTAGGTTAAGGCCGTTTTTTTTCTTTCACATTTAAATCGTTTTATTCCAATCTAATCAATCACAAAACTAGTTGATTCAACAAATGAATAATGCTAAAAAGCTGACAGAAAAATAAATATGCAAGTCTGCCCAGAAAATATTTATTTAAAGGAGAAATACCTTGAAAGAGATAACAACTAAGAGATTGAAAAGAAGGGTAAGATTAAAAAAATTAAGTTGTTGGAATGTGAATGGTCAATCCAACAAAAATAACAAGGAGAAATGGGAATAGAGCAAATCCATAGTACACTGCTCCACATAATTATAAGTCCACCCCTTTTTTTGGGATTTTTTGACTCCTAGTGATCCAAATTTTCTGGAAATTTAGAAACACACCTTTTAGTGAATAACTAACAAGGTGTGATTCGATTTTTGGGTGAATTTTTATTTAAAAAATTTTTAGACCAAATTTTGTGTTTTCGGCCTCCACAAAATTATAAGTCCACTTTTCAAAAATTATATTTCCAAGTTTAGGAAAAATCTACAAAAATTCTAGCAAAGATACATGATGATATTATGAAAAAATAAAAAAGAACTAGACCCATATCTTTACCCTGAGCCGAGATCCTGAGACCCCGAAAATCAACGTAAAACAGGGTTTTTCAACTTTAAAAAATATTTTCGACCCCTTATCGATTATTTTCAATTTTAATTTTGGGCTCATTCGACAGCCCTTGAAATTTGCTACAAGATAGGAATAGTCTTATTTTTCAGAAAAATTCCTTAGAGAGACACAAGACGATAAGATTTCTAATCGTCATTATAGGGCATTTTATGGGGCATTTAGACGTTTTTTGCTGCATCAGAAGATTATCGCCTTGTGTCTCTCTAAGGAATTTTTCTGAAAAATAAGACTATTCCTATCTTGTAGCAAATTTCAAGGGCTGTCGAATGAGCCCAAAATTAAAATTGAAAATAATCGATAAGGGGTCGAAAATATTTTTTAAAGTTGAAAAACCCTGTTTTACGTTGATTTTCGGGGTCTCAGGATCTCGGCTCAGGGTAAAGATATGGGTCTAGTTCTTTTTTATTTTTTCATAATATCATCATGTATCTTTGCTAGAATTTTTGTAGATTTTTCCTAAACTTGGAAATATAATTTTTGAAAAGTGGACTTATAATTTTGTGGAGGCCGAAAACACAAAATTTGGTCTAAAAATTTTTTAAATAAAAATTCACCCAAAAATCGAATCACACCTTGTTAGTTATTCACTAAAAGGTGTGTAATTTCCAGAAAATTTGGATCACTAGGAGTCAAAAAATCCCGAAAAAAGGGGTGGACTTATAATTATGTGGAGCAGTGTATGTGAGGAAAAGTAGGGTTGTCGGTTTCAAACCGAACACCGAAAACCCGGAGATCTTCTGTTCGTTTAACTTAAATTTTTGAAAGAATTTGGTGAAACCGACAACCCTAATGAAGAGTAAAATTCTCCTTTAATCTTTCATTGGGTCAGATTTAAAAAAGATTTTTTGTTAGATTTGGTCAGTATTTTCTAGGGTTAGATTGTGAAGGATTGAGAGGGGCTCAACCAACAACGAGAAAAAAAAGATAGAGCAAACCACATGTTAAGGTTTTTGCAGGATTAAAAGAGAAAGCCTCCTTTATGTTTAACTGGTCAGGCTTTTTCAATTTATTTCGAAAGCTTTTATATACTGTCCCCATCATTTAATTAACCATTCTTCAAAGCTAAAAATAAATTATTAAACTTATACATATATTGTCCACACTTCTTCTTCCTCCTAGGCCTTAAAAATCGGTTTTGCCTTTTTTAAAAAAGCTTTTTGTGTGAGTGACACTGCCAGCCACCACAAAAACTACTCTACTTTCTGTTTCCTTTTTTTGCGCTTTAACTGTTGTCCACACATTAAATATTTTCCCCCCTTTTCAATGTGGACAAATAAACAATAAAATAAATTGGCTTTTACCACAATTCTTTTTACCTCAAAAGTTTATGGTCTTTGACAAATGGGGGGAAATTAGAAGCTCCTAGAAAATTTTAAAATTAATTTGAAAGGTTTCTAAAAAAATTTTTGGGATTTAAACAAATTTAAAAAATCACTTAAATTTAATGTCCTCTAAATTAAAAAAAACTCTTCAAAGCACTATAACCCTAGGACGGTATCGAACCTAACTAGCTTATAGTAGCCAAACCAAACTGGCTAACCATTACACCAGGCTGCTTACAACGGAAAGTTTTAAAGTTTAAGTATTAAACTAATTAAAACTTTAAACAAAACTTGTTTATCCAACTCCCCCCATAGATTAGCATAATTTCACCCTTTTAAAAATTTTTAAAAATTTCAAATTCAATTTTTAAAAATTTTTCAATTCAATAAACTTTTCATATTTACACTCGACAAAAAAATTTTTTAATGAAGAAAATATATGTATAATTACACATTATAAGGTCCATATCCAAAAAACGAAAAAAAAAGAATGTATGAGTGGAAAGAAGCAAGTAAAATATTCCAAAAAAATAATTTTTTTTATGAAAAGCAAATAGAATTTTTTGAAAAAGAACCAAAAAAATTTTTTAAACTTGTATTTTGAAGGTCCTAGGAATTTTCAGAAAAAGTTTTTCTAAAAAATTTCAAAAAAAATATATTTGCTAACCATCATTTACATAATATTTAAAATAGTAGAGAATACGAGTGTAAATCAGCAAAAAATGATAGACTAATATATGTATATGTTTTTAAATATATTCACGAGAGAGAAGAGATATTATAATCGATAAATGGAAGTCTCAAAAATTTTTTCTTACATTTTTCGAATTTTTTAAATTTTTTTTATCAAGAAATATATTTTAAACTTACTTCCAATCAAAAAATTTGAATTTTTTTCTTACTTATGTATTAATCCTTTCAGCCTTCATTTTTTGGTGGTGTATACCAACCTTATATTAAAAAATTTTTTATTTTTATGAAAAGGGTAATTGAAGTTATAACTGGAAACTCAAGAGATTTTCAGAGCTGGGATAATTTCGCATCTTTCGCATTTATCAGCGCGAAAAGTTACACATTTCGTTTTTTATTTTTAGATTTCGCCCAGCCCTGGTCTTTATAATAAACAAGAATGAGTTTACGATTTTAAGGATCATGAAGGTCTGGTGGGATCGATGGGAGGAGGGATGGGGATAATAAATACGTGGTAGGAGAAAGGGTGGAAACTAAAAGAGGAGAGAAGAAGATGAGAGAAAATAAAAGTACGAGTCAGGGAAATCGAAAAAGTCTGGGCTGGTTTTAGAAATTTTTTTTGACCATGTCAAAAAAAAAGACCGCGTTTCGGATAACCCGTGATATTCCTGATACGAGTATATTCACGCTATCAATAAAGTTCCGCCCAAAAAAAAATAAAAAAAGAAAAACAAACCTGATTTAGCATGAATATGTACAAGAGACTTGAAAGATTGCTGAGCTTTAACCAAACTATAAGTATTCCCATTTTTTGGTTCAAATGCAATACGAGCATTTCCTTTAACCAAAGTAGCAGAGATTTGAGTAATTAATGATTCAACGCTATAAGAAGCTGTCCATCCTTGTTTGGTTAAAAGTTCCATACAAAGAGCACCACCACTCAAAACAAACCCTTTAAAAATTTAAGTAAAAAATTCCTAGAAAATTTTTAAAAAACCGTTAGTAACAACTGGAGAAACAAGACGAACAAAAGGAGGCTCAAACCTTTAGAAAAAATTATAAAAAAATTTTCAATAAAAAAACTAACGGAAATGAAGTCCCAAAAATAAATTGAAAAAGAAGTCCATCCTTGTTATGTGGAGGTTTAGCCAATTGTCTCAAATCTGATGCAAGATTGCTATCTTCATCAACTTTCTTCAATTTGACATTCCACTCATACAAATTATCCTTTTCCAATTCGATTGAGAAAACGCCTAAATTATTTTAAAAATTAAGGTTAGTCAGTCACAAACAGTTTATCGAAACGGAACCGAAAACCGGGGGTTGAAACCCATCGAAAACCGAAGATACCAGTTAATAACCGGTTGTGTCCAATCCTAATAATACCAAGAAATTAAACGTTTTATACCGTTTTTATAATTATCACTGCTATATATCTGCTTAAGCTCTTTCATAAGACGATCTGAGGCTGTTACAGAACCAGCTGGAGCGCCTATATTAATTTAAAAATTAATTAAATCTACAATGAAAAAACAACCTTTAAGGTGCTGCTGACGTTGAACCTGAGAAACACGAGTAATAACAGCTAAACCTTCCGGTGGGACCTGAAATATAACAAAAATATAAACATAAGATCTATGCATAAAAATTTTCGGACTAATAAAATAAAAACAATTATTTATACCCAAAAAATATAAGGAAAAAAGGAAAAGGGCGAGAGGGAAGATAGACGACAAGTGCCATAATTCTTAAATTAACATACCAGTCCATCTTCAGAATGCTCAACTCGTGCAGCCGAAACGTCCTCCATTTCGCACATCAAATCATCCTCTTCGTCATCATCCACAGTGCTTTCCAATTCGCTCCCATTTCCTTCGTCGCGGTCATCCAGTGGACTCTTTAAATAAAAATAAAGAAAATAAAAATTAAAAAACCGGAGCAATCGCTTCAAGTTCTGTCGGCGCAGTCAGATTATGCGCAGTACAAAGCCTGAGAACCAGCATATGCAATTGTGCCAGAATACCTGTGCCATCTTGACTTTGAGTGAGCTGTTCAAGTAAAGCGGTGACTATAGCATCGTCGGATTCGCTGAACCAAATTGGAGGCTCTCGTGGGTAGTTTTCCTGAAAGAATACAAGTTTATATCAGTGGCGACTAGAGGTCGGCCAGGATTCGAATCCAGATCCTGATTGTTCCTAGATCCAGGCAAGATCAAGGTATATTTCAGTGTGCCATAATGTTCCCCTGACTTTAGGCAAAGAATCTGGTCAAAGTCCTTATTGTTAACCAAAACCAAGAATCAAGGTTTTTAAATTTCCGATCTCAGTTTTTTTCCAATCCCAGCAAATAAAAACCTGAATGTTTGCACAAATCTGAATAGACTTGCCATCTGTCCCAACGAATTTAACCTCGAGTTCGTCAATTGAAGCGGAAACAATCTAAAAAGCATCTAAATTGATTCCTAAAGAAAACTAAACCTGAAAGCGTTCATGTGTTTTCGGAAACAATCGTTCAAGCAAGGCAATATCTTCTCGAAGTTTTTGTAAACAGGCCATGCTTATAATTATGAAGAAAAAAATTAGAAGTAAGATTCGAGCTGAATGGCTAAAAATATAAAAAAACCAAGTCAGTAGAGAAAATTGGAATAGCAAGAATCAATAAAAAGACAAACGACGAAATATCAATCAAAAATCAATTTTTGTCAATTTTCTTGGTAAAAATAGGATAATTCATCAAAAATTGATTCAAAAATATTAAGAGCTTACATCGATCTTTCCGAGAATAGTCAGCCCAAAAAATGAAGATTACCTAGGCGAAAATTCCGAAAAAATCGAAATGAAAGTGGAAAAATAAGATGGGAGGTAGAAAAGGAAAATGTTGGATTGGAAAATGTCAAAATGGTAACTTTTAAATGGTCAAGCGTTCGCAGCCCCATTTTTCAATTTTTAAGAAACTTAAGCTTATAAATTAAATTTTATTTTGTAGATTGATTAGTATGGCACAAGCTGGACCTTTACCATCAAAAAATTCTTTGAATTTGTCAGAACTTCGTAGTCGGGTTATTTTTTTTTTAATTTTTTTTTAATTTTCAAAAAATATTTTTTAACCTAAAGGTTCTAATTGGCCAACTTCCTGATGACTTTTTACGCGTTTCCAAGCCAGAAGTGGATCCTACCATTCCTCAAAACGTTCAAGAACAACAACAAAATATACCTTCAATTCCCCAACAAGTACCCTACCAATCTTTTGGACCTGCGGTTTTTTAAGAAAAAATTTTTTCAACTAAAGATTATTGATTTTTAAGGAGAATTTTTACTCTTTTGTTCCTCCACATACTCGTGGCCGACTTTCTATTAAAATTGTTGAAGCAAAATTGACCAAAAATTATGGACTTCCAGGTGTTCGAATGGATCCATACATTCGATTGAGAATTGGTATACTTTTCTACATTTTAATTGATAGTCAAATCTCTATAAGACACACCCTTGGGAAGCAGAAATTAGATCCTATATTGGGGTGTATTTTAAATAGAGGGTATCTTTTAACACTCCCATTGTCCATTCCCTTCCCCAACGAACTGTTTAAGCGATACCTCCAATTTAAAGTACTCCCCATTATAAGGTAATCCCCAATTTAAGACCCCCTCATTATAAGGCACTTCTCAATTTAATTTACCCTCCATTATAAGCCCCACACCTTAAGGCACTACTCGTAAGTTATTCAGCCTCCAAAGGTACCTATAACTTGTAGCAAATCCGATTATATTCGTATTTTTATAGGGCATACTTTATTTGAAACACCAACTTGCGTTAATGGAGGGAAGGCTCCACATTGGAATCGAACAGTTAATGCTTATTTACCTGAAGGAGTTGAATCAGTTTATTTGCAAATATTTGATGAGGTTTTTTATTTAGAAAATTAAAAAACAATTTATCTTCAAGCGTGCTTTCACCAACGACGAATTAGTTGCATGGGCACACATAATCCTTCCTCAAGGAATTTTTAATCGTGAAGTAATTGATGAATGGTATCAACTTAGTGGACCTCAAGTAAGCTATATAATTGAATTCAGGCCCGTAGCCAGGATTTTTTTTCGGGGGGGGGGGCAAAAAGGGGAAAAATTTTTATTTTCAGCGCCGCAGGCGAAAATTTTGGGAATTTTAGAGGGCCGTAGGCCAAAAAAATTCACTTTTTCGGCGCCACAGGCGAAAATTTTTTGAATTTTGGACCTCAAGAAGCCAGATTTCTTCCTTTTTTAGCGCCGCAGGCGAAAATTTTGAAAATTTCGAAGGCCGTAGGCCAAAAAAATTCACTTTTTTGCCCCAGCCCTTCCCCAAAATTTTCCCTTTTTCCCATTTCGGGGGGGGGGGGGGGGGAATTCCCCCCCTACCCCCCCCCCCCTGGCTACGGGCCTGATTGAATTGTTTGACCCCGAAAACATGCTGGGCCCCCTATGGTTTTCTTTTCAATTTTCTGGGGTTTGTATAATATCTCTGGCTATATTTGAGACCGCGTGTTGATTTTTATGTCATTCGACTTACAATCAGCTTGAAAAACTCCTTTTGAATGGCCATTGACCATATCGGAGTTTGAGCCCTTAAACTAATTTTACCTTTTAAAAATCTTTTTTTAAGGGAGAAGGCAAAGAGGGAGTTATAAATTTGGTTGTTTCTTTCTCACAAGTTCTACGTCCACAAAATCAAGGAGAGGAAACAGCTATTATTAGTTTGTTTTTTTTTTAAATTTTTCTGAAATTTTCTCAAAAAAAAATTTTCTCTTTTTAAAGACGCTCCTCTATTCACTGAAGAGGAATTAAATGAATTGGCAGAAATGTTTCCAACTATTGAAAGAGAAGTAATTAAACAAGTTTTGGAAGCTAAAGGAGGTGTTAAAGAAGCTGCTGTAACTGCTTTATTAGATATTTGTGGCTAAAAAAAGAAGGTTAATTTAAAAAGGTTGTATATGAATTTTCTCAATTTTACACAAAATATGTAAAACAATTTTAACATATTTTCCAAAAAATATTTTTTAATAAAATTATTGCTTTTTGGCTAAAGATCCTAACGGTTCTACTATAGGAACATAGGGCGTTTTAGGGGCTTTAATCAGAAAAATTGAAATGCTTGAAAATGACTCCAGTTTGGAACCAAGAATGAACCGGGTTGTGTTTTATTTTCTTTGGATTGGAATTTGCAAAGGCGTAGCCAATTTTGCCTCCTTTCCCAAATTTCGGGGGAGGGGGGGGCTTCAGCTCCCTGGCTACGCCCTTGGGAGTAGGGGTCGAAAATTAAGGTTTGGGTCGTGATTAGGGTTTCGGGTGTGTCAAGTTTAAGAAAAAACTTTTTCTGCCTAACATAAGCTCTTTTTCTCAACATGCATTCCAAAAATACGATTTACACGGAAAGGATACCCCCTAGACGAGAGTCAAATATAAATAATTTGAAAAGGGAAAGAGACCCTCTCTTATGGCAATAAAAATTTGAAAAAAAATGAGATCAGAAAATTTGAGAGATCTTTTAAATTAAAAATCTTTAAATTTCCCTTTTCACTCTATTCTAAACAACTACTTGTTTTTGTTCTCCTCAACCTAAATTGTTGAACTACTGCAGTTAAAGTTCTTGCTGACAACCTTCTTTTTGTATTTTCATTGTCTTCTTCTTCCTCTTGTGGAATACCCAAATGAATAGGGGATTTTTTAACATTTTTTTGTTGTTGTTTTTCTTCTATCAAAATTTTTTCGTCTTCAATTTCTAATGAAAAAAATTCCTTTTTTAATTTTCTTAAAAAAATTTTTTGTCCGCAAAAATTTTTGCGGAAAATTTTTTTATCCGCAATTATTTTTGCGGACAAAAAATTTTTTTAAAAAAAAACCTCCAAGTTGTTCAGCAAGTTCTTTTACTTTTTCTAGTAATTCCTTGAGTTGGTTAGATTTCTGTAAAGCAAAACGTCTATTAATTATTTCTAAAATTATTTACTTCAACAAGTGTTTGATGTAACCTCAAATTTTCTACTTCTAAAAGGCCACTTCTCCTTAACATTTCTTCGGGAGAAATTCTAAAAAAAAATAATTTTTTAATAATGGGGAGAGATTTCAAGCAAAATGATTATTTCCTTACTTTTGTAGGGTTAAAAGTTTAAAAAAATCAGCAAAAAACTGTCCGCAAAAGTTTATGATAGAATTTCATGGGAGGTGTCATACGAGATATCTCGAAACATAATGAGATAACCAAGATTTTTGTTCAGATCTCGGGGTACTTTTCGGTTCTGCCACACCTCTCCCATATATTCGGAGTTATATTCCTCCTAGAAAGGAGGAAGTCTGGCCATTATATACGTATGAAAGTAAAATATAACCTGCGAATATATGGGAGGGGTGTGGCAGAACCGAAAAGTACAGATCTCGATCCGGTCTCTAGTTCATGAGGAATAGTTTATGAATCCGCAAAAAGTGTCCGCAAAAAAATCCGCAAATATTTTAAATTAAACTTACAAAGATAATTGTCTATGTAAGCCTTCTTGTGTTGTTGTAGAATTTGTTTTTGTTGTTGTTGTTCCACCAGCAGAACGTTTTGAATTAATTAAAGAAGAATTATTTTTTCCACCAACAACACTTTTCATCATTCCTTTCCTTTGATGTTTTTGTTGTTCACAAGCATTTTTTGGTGTTTTCCATAATTCAACAATTTTTGGAACAAAAACCAAACAAAGAGTTAAAGTTGTCCCAAAAATTATAAAAATACTAATTAAACCAAATGCTTCGTTTAAATGATCCTTTTTTTAATTTAAAAATTTTTTCTTAAAAATTAAATAAAAATAAACCTGTAAAATAAGTGCTAAAGCTAATCCAACTGCACACATAACCTTTAAAAAATAGGAAAAAATTTTAAAAATAAATTAATATGAGGTCTTAAAATTGTCCGCAAATTTCTTTCTGCAAGTTTTTCTGTCCGCCATTTTTATCCGCAAATTTCTTATCTGCAAGTTTTTTGTCCGCAATAATTTCTTTTATAAATACCTATGTAGCTATTAAAATGAACCATTGGAAAATATTTTTTTTCCCAAAAATACTCTTTTCGATAAAATGCGGACATTTGGGACATAAAGACATTTGGAAACATAAAGGAAAATAAACTTGTTTCTCAACTTGAATTTAAATAAAATATTTAAAAAATACCACAATAGCATATACAGCAATCCCAATATATTTACTATCATTTAAAGCAGGCACATTAACTGCTCTAGTTTCCCAAGCCAAAAAACAACCAAACAACTTTTAAAAAAAAATTTTTTTTTATTTTTAAATTTAAAAAACCATTAATAATCCTTTAGTTATAGCAAAAACTAATTGAAAGACAACAGAATGCGAAGATTCACAATGTTCCAATTCTGGGATAATTAACATATTTTCTTCTCTCTGAATTTAAAAATAAAAAAATTCAAGATTCGAATAGGAGGAATTTAGGGGGCCACTAAAGACCTGAAGTACATTAAAGTCAGGATTTAGGACAAGAATGATTCAAAGGACCATGTGGAGGATAGGGGTTATATGGGAATGTGTGACTAAAAGGGTTAAAAATTAAATTAGGGAGACACAAGAACCATGGAGGGCACCAGAGTCGGAATTACAGAGAAAAAAGTCTCAACTTGAGAATTTCAACGATTTTTGGAAAATCGGTTAAGGACGATTCAGTATCGCCGATTCAGTATAGCCGATTCAGTATCGCCGATTCAGTATCCGCCGATTCAGTATATGGCCATAACTTTCCTAATATTCGACCGATTCAAATAATTCTCATATCATTAGAAAGGTCTCGTGATTCTACATCTTTTTCATAATTGGCCCGATCAGATCTGATGATCACAGAAAAAGTTACAGCGTGAAAACCGATTTTTTATGCCTGTGACGTCGTTTATCAGTGATAACTTTTTGTAGAGTGATCAGATCAGGTCAGTCCAATTATGAAAAAGATGCAGCACCCCGAGGCCTATCAAATCATATTTAATTATTCCTACAATATTGATCGTGCAAAAAGTTATGGCCAAAAATCCCAAATACTGAATCGGCCAATACTGAATCGGCGATACTGAATTGGCGATACTGAATCGGCGATACTGAATCGTCCCCTACCCTTGGAAAATCCCGCAGTCACTCGCGGGATCTCGCAAATTTAAAATGCGTCCCGCAAAGATTTAAAAAAATCCCGCATGCGGGATCTCGCAAACACGATTTTGCCATCTCTAGTCTCAAGGCCATCCCTTCCCCTTGGCTACGTGCCTAACTCAAACAGCAGTGTATTTCCTAAAATTTACCCAAAAAATAAAAAAAAACATCAAAAAACTAACAAACTGTCCTCGTTCAGCTAAAGATAATCTAAAGGGTGATATCAATGCCCATAAAAGCAAAACTGCTCCATCCATCGCCAACAAACAAGCAACAATTAAATAAAGTTTAGAATCTTTTATTGCTTTTTTGTCACGTCTAATATTCTTTAAAAAATTAAAAAAAATTTTCTTTAAATTTTTTAAAAAGTTTACAGTAAAAATTGAATGAACACGCCATGTTTTGCTAAACATTGAACCAAAAGCGAGAGTAAAACCAAAACAAAGAATCCAAACTTTTGCCTTAAAATAAGAAAAATTAAATTTTTTGAGGGAAATTATTTATTAGAAAATAATTTTTAGTGTGGTGAATAAAAAAGTCATCAAGTAAAGTCCGCAAAAAAACTATCCGTTAAAAAAGTCCGCAAAAATGTCAGAAAAAAATCCGCAAGAAAAGTCCGCAAAAACTGTCGGCAAAATCCCAAAGGAAATAAAAGTTTAATGTCTTTAGCCTCCTTAAAGGATCTGTGCTTGTAAATAGTCCATAAAAACACCCTTGTAGTCAGGGCCGTAACCAGGATTTTTTCGGAGGGGGGAAGGGGGGAAAATTTTTGTACGACGAATTTTTGGCGCCCACATGTTACAGCCCTGCTTGGAATTTCAAAAAAGGTGTACGCCCAAAATTCACTTATATTAGACAGAAATAACCCATTCCCTTTTACTTATCCGAAAAAAAATTTTAAAAGAAAAATAAAAACAAACATAGCAAAACTGTTCAAAACGTCGTATGCTGACCTTTAAAAAAAATTTTATTTTAATTTAAAAAAAATTTAAAAACCATTCTAGTATCCACAGAAAGAAGAAAAATTGTTAAATAAGCACATAAAGAACCACAAATAATCTTTTTAAAAAATAAATAAAATAAATTTTTTTAAATAAATAAGCAAACCAAATTGTTCATGTTCTGTAGAAGACAATGAAAAAAAGAAAAATTTAATTATTTAAACATCTTAAATTTAGAAAATTTGTTGAACCTCTCTTTTATCCCCTCCCCCCCCCCCCTCTTCTAAAGGTATGCAAAACAAAAAAAAGATGAATTTTTGTTAAAAAATTATAGTTGAACCTACCCACCAAAAGATAAAAGGAAACCCTCAAGTAATAAGTTTCACCCATATTTTTCCTCGAAAAAAGGTACACCCCAAATTGTCACAAATACAACCCATGCAATTATAGCATAATTTCCATTTGTCAGACCGAGAAAATCTAAAAGGGTTTCGAATCGAAAGAACTTTTTATCGGTAAACCTTATAACCTTATTTTATGACAATGGAGAGGTTCAACTTAAAAAAAATCTTTTTTTTTAGAACATACCGGACTTGACATTTTTATAAATCTTTAATTTAAAAAATTAAAACCCCCAAAAAAAATTTAAAAATAAACCTGTGATTTCTAAATTTAATATTAACAATCAAAAAAATCAGAGCCAAACAAATTCCAGCAAAAGCTAATGAGCACATTATTATTAATAAAAGTGCAGAAACATATTCTCTTCTACGCAATAAAAGTGTTGAATCGGCTGGTGGAATCCAATCTTTAGAAAAATTAATTTGGTTATGGACACAAATGTCCGCAAGTTTTGTCCGCAAATTTTCTTGTCCGCAAGTTTTGATGTCCGCAGGCTTTTTTTTGTCCGCATTTTTTTTTCATTTTTTGGAGGCTTAAAATGCTCATAAACGAAATCCGCAAAATTTTTTACAATTTTTGTGGATAAAACTTGCGGACAGAGAAGCATTCGCGCATATTTTATCTCCTTCTTTTAAATGTTCTTCTCTTCAGTTATTCTTTTCCCAAATTTTGCCCCACAAAAATTAAAATAAACTCAAACCTATATCCTTGTTTAACTGAAATCGTCCTTCAGCATTATCAAGAAATCCAATAATTGAATAAGAACCATTAATTAATTGTTGTATTTGTACCAATCCAAGCCTTTCCCCTTTATCATCAAAACGAACTCTTCCACTTAAACCTTCAAAATCTGTTTTTCTCATTTTTGAAACAAAAAGTTTTTTGTCAATTTCAAATTCTTCTTCCTTTCCTTTCTTTAAAATCAAACTTTTATTTAAAGCCAAGCCTAAAGCCAAAATTCCATCATAAGCGTAGGATGAATGTGCTAAGGAATCTGTTTGACATTCTGTATTTGAGCCATATTCTTGTAGACAGTTTTGATGGAACTCTTCGAGAATTTGTGTTGGAGTCTTTAAAAAAACTTTTTTAATTTAAAAATAGGACAAAATGTCCATTTCTTTAAAAACCCGAGAAATCATGCCAGAGGGCAAGAAATGGAAATTTTTGGAAAATTCTCCGGAAATAGGAAAGAAACGTCAGGAATCGAAAGGTGAAGTCTCTAACATGCATAAACACAAATTAAAAAAAATTTCGAAAAGGGGAGAGTGTTTAATTTTTGAGAAACCCTAGAAGTGTACAAGATGCCGGAAATTGGGAATTTTGGAAAATTTTCAGAAATCGACATATAAAAATCAAAATTTCGAGCCCAACCCACCCCTATGCAACATCAAAAAAATATAAAAAACAAACCTTCCCACTAGCCAAAATTTCTTCTTTTCCTTTCTCATAAGGCCGTATAAGTGCTTGATCTAAAGCAAAATGTCCAGCCAAAACTTCCTCAATTTCTTCCAAAGAACAATTTGTTTGAATATTTAAATAATTATTTTGCCACCAAAAATTATTTATTGTCCCGTCTGGAGAAATTTTAAATCCTGGAAGAATCCAAGCAAAATTATTTCCATAGAGGCCTAAACGGAAAGCAACACAAAATACACGAAGAGCTAGAGAACGGCTGAGATCGGCAATAAATATGTGAACATCTCTGTGCTGAAAATTTACTGGTTTTAGAAAATCAGAATTCTGGTTGGACAAATTAGAATACAAAATCAGAACAAAAAAACCAGAATAAAATTCAGAATGAAAATCAGAACAAGAAATCAGAAAAAAGTGAATCAGAAAAAATCAGAACAAGAAAACAGAACAAAAAATCAGAACAGAAAAATCAGAACAAAAATCAAAACAGAAAAACCAGAACAAAAATCAGAACAAGAAAATCAGAACAAAAAAACAAAATTACAAAATCAGAACAAAATCAGAAACAGAACAAAATCCCAAAAAATAAACAAAAACCTTCAATTCATCCAATTCTGCCTCAATAGCCTGGTCATTACTTTCACCACTCAAACTTGCAGTATAAACAACCTGCACACCTCCGAGTTCAAGTTTTGTAGTTAAACGTTCATGTGCCAATGCTAGAGAGGAATGGTCGCTTTGTTTAATGCTTCCAACACGGCGCCAACCAAAAGCTTTAAATTAAAAAAATATGAGACTTTAATGGCTAGGGATGAGAATTTTAGAAAACTTGGGACAAGAAATCGGAGCAAGGAACCGGAACAAAACCATGGATCGGAACTAGTGACCGTGGCACGGATCGAATCCGGACGGATTTTTCCGGAGTCCGGGTCCCAAAGCCGGCTTTTTTCGCAATTTCCGGATTAAAACCGGACCGGATTAATCCGGCCGGATCACGTCCGGCTCTAGATGCAAATCCGGAACAGATTCCGAAAAATCGATTCTACCGGTCACTAACCGGAACCAAAGAGAAAAAAGCCAAAAAGCGGAGAAAAAACCCAATAAAAGGGCTGGTCCCATTCCCATCTTTTATTTTATTAAATTAAAAAATTACCTTTAATTAATTCCTTTCTAGCTCTATTAAAATTCAAATCTCCAGGCGCAATGCGGAAGAAACTTGGATAAAGCTTTAAAAAATATTTTTTAATTTTCGACCCATAAAACCTCTTTAGAATCAGCCGTTCCAAATTTTGCATGTGTTTCAGTAAATGAAAGATGTACAATATTCCAACTCCTTTAAAAATTTTTTTAAATTTTACTTAAATTTCCAGAAATGTCCAAAAAATATTTTTTGAAAAATCCGCAAAATTTGTCCGCAAAATTTTTGCGGACAAAAATTTTTGTCCGCAAAATTAATCATTTATCTTTTTTAATTTTTACTTTGCCGCCATTGCCACAGGTTCATTAACATCACTAAAAATAATAATAAATTAAAATTAAAAAATATAAACAAACGTGCAAATATCCCCAAATAGCGCAACCACTTTTCCTCCAGATTCTTGTGGACCCATTAAATCAAAAAGGGCTTTCATACCCAAAGAAGTTTTGCAAGCAGTGTCTTTTGGCGCCTTTGAATAAATTTTAAAAATATTTTTTTCAATTTTAAATTACCAATTGTAAACAATGAGAGGCCAAAGCCAACGGTGAACTGTTAAAAAAATTTTTAGATTGGAAAGAAAGTCCGCAAGTTTTGTCCGCAAAAATTTTAGCGAACAAAATTTGCACTCGATTTTTTAATTTTTAAAATCCGCAAAAGTTTTGCGGACAAAATTTTGTCCGAAAATTTTTGCGGACAAATTAAAAAAATATTTTTGAAAAATCCAGTTTTGCAGACAAAACTTGCGGACAAAAATTAAAAAAGCATACTTTTTCAAAATTTGATGCAAATGTTTTAAAGAAAGTGACAGCCATGGATCAATTCTTTGTCTGTATTGTTCAGGTAAAAGAAGACCAATTTTTATAGGGGATAAACAATCATCTTCACTTTCAATTAAACCAGTATTGTTGTTGAAGGTAATATTTTGAGAGTTTAATGGAGTAAAAAAGAAAATAATTAAATAAATAAAAATTAAAAATAATGAGGAATGTTGTTGTTGTTGTCTTCTGATTTTTATTAACAAATAATTAAATAATGAAGGCATATCTGTAAGAAAAATAGGTAAATTAAAAGTAGTCTGTCCGCAAATTTTTGCGGACAAAAAAAAAATAAAAATTTGTCCGCAAATTTTTTGCGGACAAAAAAAAAAGAATTTAAAAAAGCCCTCTAAAAATTTAAAAAAAATTTTTTAAATAAATTCTAAAAGAAAACAGTATAAACATGCTTAAGAACAAAAGCAAAAAACCTTTTCTTTTGTTTTCTCAAGTTTGTTTTGATAAGAAAAAAAAGAAAAAAATCAAGTGGTTCTATTAAATTAAAAATTAATTGGCTATAAAATACTTGGCTGGTAATAAAAATGTTTTTGAACTGCTGTCACGATGTTTGTGTGTATAAAAGAAGCGGAAGCTATTCAAAAAAACGAAAAAAAATATTTTTTGGACAATAAAGACTTCCAGTCACACACACAAAAAATGCCCTTTCACCCTCCCTAACTTTTTTATGAGAAGATTCCCCTCACATTTTCTTTTTCACACACACAGAAGCTCTGGCACGAGTGCATGAATGACTGAGTATGTGCCTCTTTTATTTATTTTGTTGTTGCTTTCAATTCTTTTTATAGTAAAAGCATTACTCTAACACACAACTTTTCTCTAACCTCTCTCTCATTTTTATACACTATTTCTTCTTTAACGTTAAAAATAAATTTAACTCTATATCGGCTGGGAAATGAGAAAAGCTCTCATTCTTTTTGTTTAGGGGTAAGGGCTAAAAAAGAAGTCTTTTTTAGATGACCCGGTCCTTTGGGAATGAAAATCGAAAATAGTTTGTAAAGGAATAAAGTTAAACTGAAGAGGGGATTTTTTAAACGTTAAAGATAAAAGGAGATTAGATAAAAAAATTATCTGAAAATCTGGAGCCTTTACCCCCACAAGAAAAATGAAACAATAAAAATTTAAAAATAAATAAAAAAGAAAAACCTCATCTGGACTCGAACCTTCAACCTTTAACAACGATAGAACAAGACGTAACCCACTCAACCGTGAAACCGAAAATAGTTTGTAATAGGCAGATCTTCGTACTTAAACACTAAACACAAATAAAATTTAACAAAGAAATGCTTGAAAATCTTACTTATCTGTCAAAAAATAAAAAAAAATATACTGGATAATTTAACCCGATTTAAACAGAATAGGAAATATATAGTAAATGATTTATTCAAAAATACAATCAACAAATAAAAAATTTTTTTTGAGCAAAAAAAAGTGAGTTTTAATTTTGTGTTTTTAAACCAAAGAAAAAATTATGAGAATAAAAAATTATGAGAATTAAGGCAATAAAAAATATATTTTTTGAGAGAGAAAAAAGAGAAGAGTATCATCACCACGAAATTTAACAAAAAATAATTTTTTGAGCATTTTGAGAGAAAAAATTTTTCCTTTCAATCATTTCTTCCCAAATGTAGCAGTTGTGTTACTATGCAAACTTGCCGAACTTCTTCTCCTTTGTGATCCAGGCGAAACAGTTTTTTTATCTGGTGAAGAACGAGAATTTCTCCTTTCACTTGGAGGAAGTAAATCAGATAGTGTAGCTTTAAAAGAAAAATAAAAAAAAATTTTTTCAAAAAAATTTTTTCCTTACTATCAGCACAAATGCTTTCACAATCCTTGTCAGGAACACTAATTAAACTTTTATCTTCAGAAGATTTTTTGTTTGGGTTTGTGTTAAAAGACATTCTGTAAAAAATAAAAAAAAATGTAAATTATTTTAAAAATCAAAATAAAAATTTTTTTGAAAATTTTAAAAAAATTTTTTGAAAAATTTTTGATTTTTGAAAATTAAAAAATTTTTCACCCCTTCAAAAAATTTTCTGAAATTTTTTTTTCACCCTTTCATAAAAATTTTCAAAATTTTTAAATCTAGCAAAAAAAATTTTTTTCAAACCTTTTAAATTCCATTTTTTTATCAAAAATTCCTTTTGAAACAGGCCCTTTTTTATGTTGTTTATGATGTAATAATTCACTCGGATCAAATTCTGATGCTTGAAGAGAAAATCGTCTTAAATTCTTTTTACCATCATTAGGTATTGTTATAGGCCTTAAATTTGTTGTTGTGCCTCCTCCTCCCGGTGGTTGACTATAACTATTTTTTCTTTGTTGTTTTTGCTGATATGGAGGACTTCCCGAATGTTGCTGTGAAGAATAATTTTTTGCCATTTGTTGTAACGGCATTCCTAATAGAGGCATTCCTAATGCTAAAACAGATGAACCGGGCATTGAGGGGACTAAACGTTTTAAAAGGGAAGAGGAGGAAGTTGTTGAAGGGTTTGTTGTTGTTGTTGTTGGGGCTACCGCTTCTTTTGATGATGAATGTTTATCTTAAAAATTTTTTTAGCCTTTATTATGTAAGACACTTGCGGACAAGAAATAGGAAAAGTACAAGAAAAAGGAAAAGGACAAGAAATAGGAAAGGTTACTCTGAATTCGAGTCGATGCTCGAAACCCGTACCTTTTTCAACACCAAATTCGAACAAAAGAAAATTTTGACAATCCGATCCGGATTTTTTCTCAACCTTGCTTAATTTTTCAATAGACTCTACATTTTTTGTCCGCAAAAAACTTTACTTTTTAATGGTCACATAGAAAATAATTTAAAAAATATCCAACAGGATTTAATAAATTTTTCAAAATTTTCTTTTGCAGGAAACAAAATGCTAACTAATTATTCTTTCAAAAAATTACCACACCAATAGCAGAATCATCTTCATCAGAATCAGTTTCTGCTGAATCCAATGTTGTTCCACTAACAAAAGTTGTTCGATGTGGTTGTTGTCTTCTCCTTCCTCCTTCTTTCTGTGGTGGATTATCATCATGAAATGCTAAACTTGTTGTTGCAGGCTCTTCACCATGAACAGAATTTGTTCTTCTAGGCAAAAGTTTTTTTAATTGGATAGGTTTTAATTCTGTCAAATTTTGTTGTTTTAATTGTTGCTGTTCTTTAGCTTGTATTTCACTCAATTCAGATTGAGGCTGTGGAGGCCTAAGTTGAGGACTTTGCTGTTGTTCAGCAACACTTTTTTCGATATGTCGAACCTTGAATAAAATAAATATCGGTTATGTCCGCAAATTTTTTTGCTCTTTATTAAAGCTTACATCATTTGCCAATCGATTATTCGTTAAACCTTCAGTCATTCTATTTTCAACTAGTTGAAGACGATTTACCAGATTTTGAACTTGCTCTAATAACTGTTTAAAAAAAATTTAAAAATCAATTAAAAATAATTTTTTTGGTTTTATCCGCAAAAATTTTGCGGACAAATTTTTAAGTCCGCAAATTTTTGCGGACATACACAAAAATTTTTTAAATTTAAAAAATTAACCTCTCTATTAGAATTTAATAATTGATGTGTTTTTGATTGTGCTTCAAGTCTAGCAGTTGTTTCAGAATTTAATTGATCTCGAAGCAATTGAACTTGACAAGCAGCAACTTGTGCCTGTTGTTGTGCTTGTTCTAATTGCGCTCTAATTAATTGCCTTTGAGCTTCAGTTGGTGAAGATAGGTCATTAATTAAAAGGTTAGTATTGGCTGCAACATCTGATGATGTACTTGGAAGAGAAGCCGTTGCTGGTGCAGGAATTTGTAAAGTTGCGTAAGGACTGAGAAGGAGAGGAGAATGAATAGATACTGTTGTTGGGGAAAGCATCTTTTAAAAAAATTTTTTTAAGTAAAAATAATTTTTTGACGTTTTTAAATAGGGAATGTTGTATTTGCGGATTTTTCCTTTGGACTATTTTTGCGCACATTTTTCTGCGGACATATTTTGCAGACACTTTTTGCGGAAATTTATTTGCGAATTTTTTCTGTGAACTTTTTCTGCTGACGTATGTTATACTTTTTCTGTTTAAACTGATCCTTAATGACTAATCGAATATAAAACACGAACAGAGAAAATTGGGCAAAAGTCCGCAAAGCAGGTCCGCAATAACAACATCACCTCTCTTTAATGTGCTTAAATTCAAAAATTAAAAAATTACTGAATAAAGAGAAGGAAGTTGTTGTTGTTGACCTCCCAAAAATTGTGTTGAAGTTGATGGGGTAGTTTGAAAAGTTTGTTGAGGAGGAAGAGGAATGTTGGTGGCTGGATTTTGAAAAAGGGCAGGATTTAATTGCTGCATTGGAATGTTCCACAAATTTGAAGGAAGTTGTTGAGGGAGAGGATAAGAGGATGTAGCAGCAGTTTGAAGAGGATTAGTTGAATTTGAAACTTGTTGTTGAGGGATAGCAGTCGCATGGAATGCCAATGAAGGAGATGAAGAGGCCCCGCTAAAAAATTAATGTGGAGAAGGTTAAAACGTTTGAGAAGAGGTGTCGAAAAAAGAGTAACGTCCTCAAATATGGCATTGTTCAGACTTCTTTGAGAAATCAGCCCAGAACTACATTGGATTGTAGTTCGGGGTTGACAAAACGCTTATTTGGACTCGTCAATTATATCAAAATTAACAGAGTCGGCAAGCTGAAAATTAGAGCCACACCAACCAAAGAGTTGTCCAACCAAGTTATCCCAGTCCAGCTCTTCGTGGCTTAACTGGGATAGTGCCCGAACCACAAAGAGATTGGACCACTAAAGATTTCTAACTTGTCCCTGATATAAACAATCAGAAACCTAGTCAAAAACTTAAACCCAGCTTTATGTAAAGAAACCTATGCCTCGCTGCACCACTGTTAATAATAGCAGCAACATTAGCAGGAATAACATTGGGAGGCATTTGACTATAATCTACAACAGCTTTCACCGGCGAACTTCTTTCATAAATAATTGACTGCCTTGGGGCTGATGAAGATGTTGACGGTCCAGGGATGTCCAAATTATCTTTAAAAATTGTAAATTGGTTAAAAATGTCCATTAGAGTCTCGAAACCTGTAGTTGATTCAGAACCTTCCCTTTCATCATCCTCTTCATTTCCATCATCCTCCTCGTCTTCCTCTTCAACAGTCATTCGTTTTGGGACAAACTGTCGTAGGAAAAAATTTTTTTTCTTTCAGAAAATCAAAGAAAGCTTACGATCGACTGCCTTTTTTGTTGTCCACTTCTAGGAGAGTTGTGAGATGGGGACTCTTTTGTGGCCATTCTCCTTTCTAAAGGTTGTTGTTGTTCATCACTTTCAGTTCCAATACTGTTCTTTTTTCTTAGAGAGCTTGAACTAGCAGCACCAAAAGCTGAATCAATTGCTCTTTCTTCTTCTAAAAGTTGCCTTTCTTTGTTTTGTTCTTGACTTAGACGGTTGCACAACTAAAAAATTTTTGTTATTAAAAGTATATCAGACCGGAAATTCAACATTGACTCATGATTTTGGTTGAGGACCTTGACCTTCAGTCAAGGAAAAATCGAGGAACACAAAAAATCCTCACTCTGGATCCTGGAAAAATCAGGGTCTGGTTCCAGATCCAGGCCAATCTCTTTACTAACAAAAATTAAATTTAAAAACTACCTCAAATGCTTGTCCCACTGTTCGAACAACGGCCATTGCTTGATCCTGAGAAGATAGGGTGATATAAAAATATTTCTCAAAATCAATTAAAAAACACCCAAAAAACCACCCAAAAATCCCCCCAAAAATCAATCAACTACCTCTAAATGCTCCTCAACAATTCTGGAGGATGAAGGTTGTTGACCACTACCCTCAACATTTGGCCAACGCGGAAATTTTATTTTTATAGGTTCTGGAGGTCTTTGCCCAGGTTTAGCCATAAGACGAAGATAATAAAATTGTTGCTCTGGAGAAATAGCTCCAGAAGGCAAAGGAAGGGTAGAAGACGAAGAACTTTGACCCGTTTTCTTCTTTGGTAAAGATGCCGTGCTACCGGGTAAGTACATTTCCCGGTCCCGGCTGGGAGGTTTGGACATGATGTCGCCAGTTTTAATTTTTTTAATGATCGGCACAAAAGAGAAGAAAAAGAGAAAATCAAAAGAAAATCAAAAGAAGATAAAAGCAAAAAAGGTTGGCAAAAGAAAAATATAGGTAGATGATATAAAAATAATATATAAAAGGGAGGGAATCGATTCAAGCAAGACTTTCTTTTTCTGTTGCAGCTGTGCTAAAAAAGAGATAAAAGAAAAGTCCAAATCTTTTTTTTTCTTCTACTTTTAAAACGGTTGGAAATAAATATAGGATACAAGGAAGATCTAAAAAAGATTTGAAAAAAGAACATTTGCTTCCAAATGCTCATTAAACAAAAGAGGGGTAAAATAGAAAGAGAAAGAAAAGATATTGTCGATCAACACACCCAAACTTCAATAAGCAGACAACCGACGTAGATCGACATGGGCATTATATTAACAACGACGTCAGCCATTGAATGGACTCTATAGCCGACAAAAAACACAATGTTGTCTATCATTAAAACATTGTCTAACATGATAAAACAGAAAAACAGACTTGTCTCTATAACATAAATATTATCTCTCACTCATTGTTTGCATCTAAACACCAAAACAAAACATTAAAACAAAACATCAAAACAAAACACCAAAACAAAAACATGGTTAAAAACATTATTTAGCATCGAAACATTGTGTATTTTTAAGACATACGAACAAAACATTTTGTCTTCAACATTAAACAAAACATTAAAAACATTCTCTCTCTAACGCCAAACAAAACATTCTTTCTTAAACACCAAACAAAACATTTTCCTTTCTCCAACACCAAACAAAACATTTCTCTTTCTCTAAACCCAAACAAAACATTTTCTTTCTCAAACAACAAAACATTGTCTACTTGTCTATTAACTAAACATTATCTAATGTATTACAAACATTGTGTTTTTCTCAAAACTTTAATATTCCAAAACATTGTCTAACACCAAAACATTGTCTGGCAATAGTCACTAATATTTTCTAATCTCCATTTTTAAATTGATCCAATTGTCTTTTTTCATTCTTACGTCACTAGCTAACAAAAGGGGTTTTACACAACCTTTTTTGAGGATGATCTGGAACAGACATGCACGAAACGTTTCGTTTCGTTTCGTTGTTTCGTTAGTTTCGTTATGTTTTTTACTGTTTCGTCTCGTTTCGTGACGAAACAGTTTTTAATTTGTTTCGTTTCGTTTTGTTAACGAAACACCTGTGTTTCGTTAACGAAACATTACCTATTTTTTAGGCCAAAATATTACCCAAAAACTGAAAAAATTTTCTCTTTGGTGATGAAAATTCAAAAAAATTTTGCCTGCGGCGCTTAAATCTGGATTTTATGCGCCTACGGCGCATAAATTACTATATTTCTATGAATTTTAATAAGAAAAGTTCGAATTCCATGCGAGATTAGGCATATAGAATGGGTCTACCACTTAATACCAATCATGGTTGGGCGCAAGAGACAATTTCAATAAACGAAAAACGCAACTGATGCCATTGATAATAGGGTTGCCGTTTTTGAGTCGGGCCAGTACGAATATTTTTCTGGTTCCTGATATACACATTTGCTCGACACATACTCGATTGGAGTCGATTTGGCAGGATTAAGGCTAATATAGTGGATTAGGAGGGAACACGCGAAAATTTTGGAGCTTGGGAACATAATTTAAGGTCCCATTAAGCTATGAGATCATCTATAGTTCATAACTTGTTTATTGACATGTTTAGAATCGAATAATCAAGAAAATAAAACCGTTGTTATAAAATTTTTTGAAAATTTGAATGTTTCGTTTTGTTTCGTTTCGTTTCGCTAAATTTTTACTGTTTCGTCTCGTTTCGTTAACGAAACGATTTTTAAAAATTTTTGTTTCGTTTCGTTTCGTCCGAAAAAATTTTGAAGTTTCGTGCATGTCTGATCTGGAATACACTTTTGTGTCTGAGAAAAAGGGGGGATATCACTTTTCTTTTTTATTTTTCGTTCTTTTAAATTTGAAAACGTGAACTTTTTCTTACTTCATACAAGAAGAGAATGACGACAACAAATGAACTTATTTTTTAAATAAAAGTTTAACTTGTCTAAATAGAAAATGGCGCAAATAAAGGAGAAAAATAATAAATTTTAAAATTTAATTGGGGTCATTTAATTAAAAAAGGTGCGTCATTACTTTATAAAAACCCCGTGTTTTAAGGACAAATTAGAAAAAAAATTTTTTTTTGATTTCTGTACTTTTACAAGGAGGGGTTGCGAGGTGTCCGACCTAAAAAGGCACATTCTCTATTGAATGAGTCCGGTCTCGACCGTTTTTAGGTCGGACACTCGCAACCTCTCCTTGTTAGGTCTCTAAAAGTCCGCAAGTTTTCCCGAAATCCGCAAGTCAAAAAAATTAAAAAAAAATCAAAAAATTTTGCCAAAAAGGGGAGAGAGAGATGGAAGAAACTAGGAAGAGGAGTCGAAAAATGAATTTTTGGCGTCGAAATGCGGATAAAAATATGCAAAGAAAAAACTCGGAGTCTTTTAGGAGCACAAAATTTAAAAATTGTCAAAACCCCAGAAAACCCCCCTTTAAAATATCTCCAAAAATTAAAATAAAATTCAAAACTAACTTTATCTGGACATTTAAAGACGTTACATTTGAACGAATTTGAAGCGCCATCTCTCGCCACATAACAAAATATTTGGAGATCGTAAGAGTCGTGGGCAACATAGAAAACCCTTTAAATTATTTTTAAAATAAAAAAAAATAAAAATTAAAATAAAAACCTGTACATTGGATGGGACATTACCAACCTTGAAAATTAGAAAAAAAAATTTTTTACTCTAAAAAAATTTCATAAAATTTACATTTTACTCTCATCCATATATTTTTGTTTTTTCCTTTTCCTTTGCAGCACAACTTTCACTCCATCAACAGAAACACTGTAAGAAAAAATAAATGTTAGAAAAAGGCGTACATTAATTTTTAAAATTAATGGGTTTATTATGGTTTAAAATCAATGGTTTAAAATTAATTAATTTTAAAAAATTAATACTTTTACGCTTCTAAAAAACGCAAATTATATCCACAATAAACTTGCGGACAAAAAATTTTCTAAAAAAAATTCCCTAAAAATTTCAAAAAATATTGTATTTGCTTAAATATCTTAAGGATGCATTAGCAGGAGAAAAAAACATGAAAACGCCTTCACAATATTTTCAAAAATCCTATTAAAATTCATCATTGACCTTGGTACAAGTAAACAATGACCCAAAAATTTTCAAAAATTTTTTTTCAAAATTTATAGGCTCAAAAACCTTCCAAAAATAAATCGATAGACTACCCCAGATTTACAGAGGGAAAATTCTTTTAAAAAGGAAACCCAAAAATTAAAATAAAAATTAAATAAACTAACACAATATCGACAAGCCGCTTTTTGATGTTCCTCGCTTTAAATTCGTAACGAACTCTGCGCATTGCTGCAAGAATTTCAAAACGAGCTCCAGGTCGAGAACTTCCCATTTCCATACTGCCAATGTACTGAAAGAAAATTTTTTTTATTTTTAGAATTAAAAAAACCTTTGCTTCAAAATGAATTCCATGTTGTAGCGCGATCTAAAAAATTTTTAAAAATTTTTTTGACTCAAAAATATTTAAAACGAACAGAAACGCTAAAAGAGCAAGAAAAATAAAGGGCGTACTTAAAAAACAAACGAGTTGCGAGATAAATATAATTTTACCTAGGAATCAACTAGAATATCCACTAGTTAACTAGAGTATCCCCTAGTTACTTTTGTTTTTTAGAGAAAATTTAAAAATAATTTCACCAAGCGGACTCGAACCCACACCCTTCCAAAGCGCTTAAATACACTCCCTCTAAACGAAATGTTCCGATCCAAAAAATCATTTAAAAAGACCCGCAACGGGTTACTCTCTCTTATCTTTCAAGAAAAAAGTTTAACTAACCTCATTTGCAAAGGGCATTCCCCTCTCCGGACTTGCTTCATTTTGCTGTTGAGTGAGGGGCATCTACTTTTTTTCAAAAAAATTGTCGTCTAAAATTCTCCTCTTCCAAATTGTCCACCAACCAACAAGTATTTCTTTTTTTCTTTCAATTTTGTTGTCGTTGTTTAAAATATTGCCATAAGATTTTCATAAAAAATAAATATTCCTATTCTCTCCAAAATGGGAGGGAATTTGGAGGAAATTTAAAAAATTTGAATTTTTGCCTGAAAAATTTTTCAAAATTTTTCAAAAAAATTTTTTTTTAATTTAATTAATCGCAAAGGAAGAAAAATTAGTTTATTAGACAAAACAAAAAAAAGAGAAAGAAAAAATTGCTACTTGTTGCTGCCCAATTATATGTGCTTAACACAAAGAGAGGTTTTGGCCGGAAGAGTTAAAAAGGGGAAAAAATTTTTTTTTCTGGCTCGAGAAGAGAAAAATAGATTTTAGGAGAAAAAGGAGGGGAAGATTTAGATCAATATAAAAATAAATATATATCCGAGTAATTTAAGCAAAAAGTAAAAGTATATAGAGATCTAGAAGTGTCATTTGTTTCAGCCCTAAATTAAATTGAGGGGAAACAAAGTGATTTTTGGGGAGGCGTCTGTCCCTCACAAAATTGATTTTCTGGAAAGAAAAAAAATTTTTTTGAAAGGCAAAAAAGAAGGAAAAGAAAGAGACAACAACGTCCGGCAATTATGTAAATCGTGTCCGGTTAACTCATCTACTCGTTAACTCATCTACACGGCCAAAAACGTTCAACTCATCTAAACGGCTAAAATTCCTTAACTCATCTACACGGCCAAAAAGGGATCAACTCATCTAATCGTTAACTCATCTATTCGTTAACTCATCTACACGGCCAAAAAGGGTTAACTCATCTAATCGTTAACTCATCTAATCCTTAACTCATCTACACGGCCAAAAAGGGTCAACTCATCCAATCCTTCGAAACGAGACTATTAAGTAACGGCCGTTTGAGTCTTTGGCCATCTGAGTCTCCGGCCGTTTGAGTCTCTGGCCGTTTGAGTCTCTGGCCGTTTGAGTCTCTGGCCGTTTGAGTCTCTGGCCGTCTGAGTCTCTGGCCGTTTGAGTCTTTGGCCATCTGAGTCTCCGGCCGTTTGAGTCTCTGGCCGTTTGAGTCTCTGGCCGTTTGAGTCTCTGGCCGTCTGAGTCTCTGGCCGTTTGAGTCTCTGGTAAGTTGAGTCCATGACCAGTTGAGTCCATGACCAGTTGAGTCCATGGCCAGTTGAGTCCATGACCAGTTGAGTCCATGACCAGTTGAGTCCATGACCAGTTGCTACTGGCCATGGACTCAACCGGCCGGTACTCAATAGTCTCGTTCCGAAGGATTGGATGAGTTGACCCTTTTTGGCCGTGTAGATGAGTTAACGAATAGATGAGTTAACGATTAGATGAGTTAACCCTTTTTGGCCGTGTAGATGAGTTAACGAATAGATGAGTTAACGATTAGATGAGTTAACCCTTTTTGGCCGTGTAGATGAGTTAACGAATAGATGAGTTAACGATTAGATGAGTTGTATAGGAGCCTATGTAAATCCCTGCAAAATTAATTTTTTTGAAAAATTTTTTTGAGAAATTTTCGGCTTCAAACTGTCCAGACATTGAAACGTCCGGCAGTTAAAAGGTCATTTCAGTCTGGACACTTGGGTCCTGAATTCAGTTCGGTTGAACATACTCTCACAATCAATCACCCCTGGACCGTCCGATAGCTCTTTTGTACTCGAGCTGATCGAAGCTTCCGTGTTTCACTTGGAGAATATCAACTTGAGAAATATCCAGTCCATCTCTAACCTTTAGGGTTTCACCGAAAGTTCAAGTTCCGGAATGTTCCGGTGTTTTTGGTTCCGGGTTCCGGGAACTCAAATTGGATCCGGTTCCGGTCAAAATTTCGGTTCCGGTGAAACCCTACTAACCCCCTACTACCCCCCTCTTCTCTTGTGAGAAATCTAAAAGATAATCTATTCAATACAAAACAAACCCCATCTACTAATTTTGAAACAAATCCTTAAATCCTTCTCATTCCAAAAATAATATTTAAAAATTCAATTTATATTCAAATCTTTGGTTTTTTAGTATTATTCTTTTCATCATTTATTGCATTTGTCAAATCCCCAATAAACTCATTTTCTTTCCCAACACCTCCATGCAATGTATGCTTTCCTGCTTGAATATCTGTATCTGCAGTCAATCCTTCTTTCCCTCCACCAAATGTTGAATTTGTTCCAAACTTTTTCCCGTCAACTAAAACACCTCCACCAGCTGAAAATTTGTGAAAAATTATTGAAAATGTTGAGACTCAAAGTGTCAACTTTTATTTTTTAATAGCATTGGAATTTAAAATAGACCCGTTAGAGTCTGAACGTTGAAAATAAAATTAAGGATTTTGGGACTCAAAGTGTCAGAGATCTTTGTGCTGATTAGAGGTCGGCAAAATCGCATTCCCGGGATCCCAGAACGGGACTGGGTTTTCAAAATTCGACCGGAACGGGATCCCGCGGGATTAACCCCGTAAATCCCGTTTGACGCTAAAAACCCGGGATTCCGGGGCGGGATCCCGTAAAATCCCGTACGGGGTTCCGTGCCGGACTCTAGTGCTGGTAAATTTTAAAAATTAACCCTTTTGAGTCTGGTCGGGTACATAAATTGACCCATTTAAGTCTTGACTCAAAAAATTATTTATTTCCCTTACTCTGTACTTGAGCAGTTCCATTTTTCTTTTTGCTAAATTGAAGATTCGATTCAGCCCCACTCCCGCCAATATTCACATTTGACCCAATTCCAAATTGAGTTTCCCCATCCGGAGTTTTGGTAAAATTAATTTCACCAAAAGGTATTGGAAGTCTAAAACTATAAACTGAAAAAATTTGAAAAAGAATTTTTCTTCCTATAAAAAAAAATTTTTTACCTGAAAGAACGGTTAATATAAAAAATATAAAAATTTTCATATTTTTATTTGGAATATTAAAAAAATACAAGAAAAATGATTTTATATTAATATTTGGAGGAAATATATTTAAAGGGGGGAAGAAGTTTTGGAGGGTGGGCGGATGACTTGTGAAGGAAATCACCTTTTCCATCACCCCAAATAAACCTATATTTTGACCTTTTCCCAAGCATTATTAATTTATTTATTATTCACTTTATATAGAGTAAACAATTTTTGGAAAAATGGAAACATATGTGAGCATTGGTGAATTTATTGTGAAATTCTTGCGGACATTTTTTGCGGACATTTTTTTGCGGACTTTTTTTTTCTAGCGCGTATCTTTTCATTAGGGATTTAATTAAATTTGTCGAATACAACTAAAAAATCGACAAGAAAATTGGTCAAAATTTTAAATAAGACATTTGTGAAAGAGGAACGAGGGGAAAAAGATACCTAAGAAAAATGTCCGCAAAGGTCCAAGTCTGCAAGAATTGCACCCCTATCACTACAAGTATCACAAAATGGAGGAATTTAAATAAAAAAAATTTAAATGAAAAACCTTTTATTTTCAACTTTTGTTCAATTTTTCTCTTCCTTTTTATCATCAGATCCAATAAAGTCAATAGATTCACTGTTAATGCAGTAACGTTCACCACCATCTTTTTGAGGTCCATCATCTAACAAAAATTTTTTTTTAAATTTTATAATTTAAAATAAACCAAAAACGTGTCCCAAATGTGCATTGCAGACAGAACTGTAAAAAACAAATTTAGAAAAATTTGGAAAATAATTTTTGCGGACATTTCTTGCGGACTTTTTATTTTTTAAAAAATTAAAGCTTTTTACCATCGAACTTCTGTCCTAATTCGTCCAAAAGAATGATCAGGCAATCGAATAATGTTTTTATCGGCCTCTATTGATTTTGAAAATGCTGGCCACCTAAAAAAATTTTTTGATAAAAATTTTGTTTAATAAAAAAATTTTTAGGTCTCACAAAGAATAGAATTTTTAATTTGAAAAATCTTAAATTTTTCAAAAATTCATTCAAAAAATTTTTTAAAAATACCCAGCCTCCCAAAAAATTTTCTTAATTTAAAATTAAATTTTCTAAAAAAACCTCATACCCACAACCCGAATTAAATTTATTCTCTGACACAAACAAATCAGCGCCACAACAAATACAAACATATTTTCCACCAGAAATAAAATGTTTATCATATTTTCCAGTAAATGCGAGTTCCCTTCAAAATTAAAAAAAATTTTTCAAAAAATTTAAAAATTTTTCTCACGTCCCAGCTTTCCTCGTAATTTCAAATTGTTCAGGAGTCAATACTTTTTTCCATTCCTCTTCGGTTACTTCTTTTGGATTTTTATTTAATCCCAATTTTTCAAATGCAGATTTGGGCGGATTTTTTGTTGACATTTTATTAAAAAAGTTGAAGAAAATATTATTTAGCCTTTTCATATAAAAAAATTTCTTTCTAAAATGAATTTAAAAAATAGAAAAAAAAATATTTTTTTTTTGTATTAAACAATTTAAAATTAAGAAAAAAATTTTTGTATAAATTTACTA